TGCACCTTGTGACTTCATTCAGATTCAGACACCGTTTCAACCCACCTCCAGCCCCTCCTCCACCTTCGTAGCTAAAGCTTCATCAGAGTTTCATTCCTCCCGGACTCTTGCTGTATTTCACGTCTCATTTCAACCGGTCTGACAGAAGACCGCTATGTTGAGCCTGGTTCTGCCAGAGGTTTCTTCCCAATAAGGAGTTTTTCCTCTCCACTGTCGCTTCGTCATGGACAGGTTCTCTCAACCTGTGTTATCCAACTGGACTTCAATCTTCCAGGTCTCTGAGTGAAGCTCTAGTATCAGCTCACGCAGTCCACTTGATCTCCCCATAAAGCTCAGCAGACCGTCTCGCTAACCAGCAGTCTACAGACTGACCAACTTAATCTATCTCCAGTCCACCACCAGTTTCAGAATTATATTAATATCTATCAAAATTCAGCACTGTTTCCTGCCGGGGTCTGAGCACCAAAGACCAAGTAATTTTATAAATACATTTCTCGTTATTGTCTTTTCTCTCCATGTGAGTTTTTCAGATTGAACTGGCTTTAAATTTTATGACCATATCTTGACAATTATTGGACAACTGGCAAGAAACAGAGGTATTTTACAAATCTGTTAACCTCTTATTTTGGAAGAGCACAACTACCTAAATTGCATGAACTGGAAATCGGAGTAATGCTTAATTTTACCGGCTGATGGTGACATGTTGCAGAGAAGAGTTAGTATAATTCAAGTTATTAGGTTTACAAAACTGGATGAAGACATACTTCAAAGCATTCGCAGCTGAACTCCAAATAACAGATGGTTCTGAAAAGGTAGTGACTCAGCAAGGCTAGACACAAGTGCATTACAGTTTTTTTTTTGCTAAAGAAGTCTGACAATCATGAATAATTTTCCTTCCACTTTACAGCCAAAGGCTTTTTTGTGGTGGTCTATCAAATAAAAGCAATCCCCCAAAATACATAAACCTTTAGCTACAAAAAGCAATAAAATCTAAAAAAAAAAAAAGTTATTTCAATACTGAATCCACATGTAGCAGAAATACTTCACAAACAGCCATTTAAAAAGCTTTCATAATAGCAGTAAAATAGGATTGAAAATCCTCATTCTGGGGGACATTTACTCATCTCTTCCAGCCTTTCGATGATTTATTTGTAAATTTTGTGTCGGCGGCACTCTCTCTAAGGTGCAGAATTATACCCTCAGCAGGGAATCAAACCTCCAATTTGGTATTCATCAACACTCAATGCCAGCAGCAATTAGGGATCTAATGGCTCCTGGGCCGAGAGCTCCCAACCCATGGAGCGCTCTGGGCGGAGACAGTCAACACGCTAAAGTGCTGCAGTTTGGTTGAACATACTAGGTAAGATGACGCCATTATCTGAACTATATGTTTCTGCCCAGCTTACGCAAGGAAAAAAAGCCTTTTCACAATGAGCCATATGGTTTTCTTGTCACAGGAGATGACACGAGTATCACAAGTACTAACCACAAATGCTCCATTTACTAAAAGCAAGACCATCTAGATGTTGACAGTGATTTCTAATTCTCTCCAGCTAAAGAAGAGCAATGTGCTGTTTGTGGGCTATCAGTTACCAGTGAGGGGGTGCCAACCTGCTTATTACCAAATAGGATGACAATTTAATGAATACTTTTCTTTGGTGTCTGTAACACTCTGAAAAATGGTGCCTTCTGCCCATAGCTCTCACACCCACTTAAACATTTGATCAGAACGCAGAACCAACCATTAACTCACTGTTTTCTATGTGATGTAACACCCACCTCACTGCTACCCCTTTGTTTGGCCGCGGAATTATCATGTCAGTGGATTTTTCGGCCTCTGTGTGTCTAAGATCTGTGTTGTAATGTTATTTCAGTTGAAACTGAGAAAGTCTTTGTTTGTCAATGCGGAAGGGATTTATGAATTTAAGCAAGACAAGTTGTTTTGGGCATCATTCCAGCTCCAGAAATTATCGTGCAAGTTTAAATTCCATGCAGGGTAAAAAATATAGACAAATTTAAGTGTTAATAGATGATTTGAATTTGATTTGGCTTAAACATTACCAGGAATATGGCATGAAAAAAAGGATACAATGCACTGTAAATAAAATCTAACAACAAAAGGGTGCCCCCTACTGACAAAACAGGAACAGAAAGGCAAAACAAAAGAACTAAGCACACATCAGTCAGTTTATATTAATATGTAGTGGTTATAAGCACAAATCTTGTGAATTTAATAAATGATTTGTAGATCTACAGCTGCTGTTCTCAGTCATTGTGTCCTGCTCTGTGATCTGTGTCTCTGCGCCACGGAGATAGGGAAGTGACCTTTTTTTTAGAAATCTCTGTGTGACTGATTTAGCACAGGGAGTAGCACTGCAGGTGGGGCCGTCAGAACCCATTTAAATCTCTGCCAGCGCCAGCATGCCAAATCAATACCCCCAACCCTGAAAAGTAAGCCTTTTATCCATGCAGTATTCAGAGTCTGCGATCTGGATGCAGACTGTCCGATCGCCGATACATCATGTGTGCACTGAGGGGCTCCAAAGTAACAGGCTACTTTTCCCCTCCATGCACCGTCTCACCACCACCTCTTCCTCTGCCACTTCTTAGATTTAGAGTAAAGCCCCTGATGTTCTCCCAGTGTGTGGCAACATTTAAAGAGGTCTTGGGTTTTAAGGGGGTTTCATGACTCGCATTTAAATTTAGCTTTTGAAGGAAAAAGAAAGCACTCTTTAAAGAACAGATTTTAAGAAGCAGGTTTTCTTTTCCCTCCCGGCAGCCTTAGAAAAGTTTTTTTTAAGCTTGCATGCATCATGCTTCAAAATGGTATTTGAATACTAACACATAATACAGCGAAAAAGCTCTGAAATGCTTGGGTACATATCTGCTCTGCATGAGGCGAGAGATTAAGTTTCTTTAGCAAGTGTTTTTGTTAAAGGAAAGAAACATAAGAAACTAGAAAAGCACTTGAAGAGCGCAGACCTCCACCAAGCAGCAGATGTTGCCCCATATTGTGACTTCCACCTATTGCTAAAACTCGATCTGGATCATAATCAAATTTTAATAATTGTTCCTTGGCATAAGGCACATCTTTGGCGAGAATTTCCTTAAAATCCTTTCAAAGCCTCTAAATAAGGCACAGTGTGTGCCTGCAGCCTCTGGTGTTTGTTCTGCTCTCACCTTCTTCATTTATGATCAGCAGATCCAGACTTCTTGAGAGGCATGGTATAATATGTCTGAACTTTTTTGAATCCGATGACAAAGCTGTCAATATTCACTGCAGCCCCCCTATGGTTTAGGGGAATCTGCTTGTTCCACCAAATGTTAAAGAATCCTTTAAAGAAATTGCTGTATCCGGATCATGATGTAGATCATTAAAAAAATGTTTTGTTTTTTTTCCTTGGACTGAGGTGCACCTTTGTTAAAAAAAAATTTTTTAATTAATTAATAACTTTTCAACACGCAGACACAAACTCATCTAAAACATAACGTCCTTGGCAGAAGTGAGCAGTACCAAGATTTAAACATACAAACCATACATTAATGTATCAACTTAAATTAAAAAGAGAAAGAGTGTGAAAAATTGTAATCCCAATATCATGCTGTCTACCGAACATTGATAAAAGAGAAAATGCAAAGACATGCATGGTAATTCTGGATAAACAGCACAGATCCACAAATCAGGTGGAAGAATCTGTTGACAGGAAAGTCACTACTTGCTTATATCTGTCAGGCGTTTATGTAAACTTGCAAAAATTCATGTGTTTTCTTGTTGCCACAAGCCATGCAGCAGTCAGAGTGAACATGTGACAGATCAGACCAAGGTCCAGTTGCCTAAACTGAACTTTTCAAGCTTGACCATGACCTCCATGACAGAGAATCTTAACAGATATGTTAACTTTTCATTCTTACCCTTATTTGGTCAACTTCAACTGCAGGCCAACAGTGAACTACTAAGCCCACCTTAGAGCATGGTAGTTGTCGGGCGTGGGCCAGTTAATGCTTTCGCATCCCACCATATAAGCAGTTTTTAATATCAGTTTTAATAGGGTTGCAGGTAGAGCAAACATTCACCCTGCACCACCCTGCAGCTGACAGCTCAACAGGTTGTATGATGGCTATAGCTTTATGGGAATGCTTCAACAAATGCTTGAGGGAAGAATTTTGCCCTACGTACAAGATGGGGAAGATTTTGCTGGAGCCTAACCCATTGCTATTTGCAAAATCCAAGGTAAACTTTCTGCCATCTTGTAATGAGGAATCTACATTTAGCATCAGGCATTAGTAAAGCAAACACTTTCACTGTAAGTCACTGGTGACCGCTGGTAAAAAGTTGTCGACCAGAGCATTTTGGAGTTGTAGGACTGTGTATTTGATTACTTTTAAGTGAAAGGTGAAAGTACTGGTTTCCTCCTTAGCTGCTAATTGTTGTACATTCATACTTTGTGTTACATTATATAAATAAGAGATGGCCGTTGTTGCATAGTACACCCTGATTTTTCTTAGTTATCGAGTCTGTGTAAACACATCCTAAAGTTCATAGATGTTCTCCATCCAATATGTCTGAGTTTGAGCTCTTTTCAAAATAAAATAAGTCAAAATGTCTGTTGATGGAGAAATCTGCTAGAGACGTACCTCAAAAGACATGCAGCTACTACAAAGGGTGCTTCAACAGAGTATGGACTTAGGAGGATACAATTGTATGTAAAATGTTGAAAGCAATGATCCACTTTCTCTTCAATATTATGTTCTTTTTTATGCTCCAAGTAAAGAAATCCAGATGACAAGGTTCTGATTGTGAGAAAACATGAAAAGTTGAAAGAATATGAATACTTTAACAGCTGCTTTGAGGTAGTATTATGTAGCACAAATGTTGCACTGGTTTTCTCATTAAATTCTTCTACTTAATGATGTTTATATAACATATAAAGTAGTACTGATGGGCAATAGTATTTTTCTTTTTTGTCAGGTAACCTGCAGCTCTGGCCGCTGTGACTCACCATGCAAGGCTTCCCTCTCCTCCAGCTCCTGTCTGAGCAGCTGTCGCTGCTCCTTCATCCTGCTCAGCTCCTGGCTGCTCCCCGAGCTGAGGTTGTGCAGTCTCTTGGCCAGGGCCTCCAGTCGGTCCCGCTCCAGGTACACCGCCTTCATCTCAGCTTTCAACTCCTTGGCACAGCCAAAGTCATTACCTGAAAGGGCGCACCGTAGGAAGACATTACGCTTTCACCGACCATTAATGAGCTTTTTCATCATTAATGGTGTAATTAAGTGCAGCTAATGGCGAGCCATTCAAGTAAATGGGGTAAATAAAGGATGTTTAATGTAGCAGGGATGTTTTCAGGGTGAGGCTGAGTGGAAAGTTACCAGATATGGCCGCCAGTTTGGCTTCATGCAGAGTCAAAAGCTGTGTTTCGGTCTCACTGACTTTTCTCCTTAGGCTGCTGCCCAGTCTCTGACTCATGACCACCTGGGGATAAAAACGGTGAAGATGATGGAAAGTAGTAAGTGGGGGGATGGTGCTAACTAGGAAAACCTTTGCAGGCACATGGATCCCACAGGACGCAATGCTCATTTCCTCTTCTGCTTCCATTTTCCTTATTTTTTGACACTCCTTTTAAAAATTCTAAGGCTGTTTGTGAATCCTTCTGTGGCTGGAATACACAGCTGTGAATCAACACTGAATAAGTTACCTGTCCATAACCTTTAGAAAGAACAACCCAGGGTGCGACAGGGATATGAGAATCTCTATAAAAGATATGATTAGAAGGTCAGAGATTAAAAAAAAAGAAGAGAAAAAGAGAGAAACCTGAATGTCAGTGGTTGATGGAGATGCAGAGCTGCAGCTCAGACCACAATTCACAGAGGATTCTGGCCTCCATTTGCTCTCACTCCATCCATTAAACCTCTGTTCCTAAATGTGCTCACTTGGAGCTACATTCACACAGGGTGCTGTGAAAAAGCATTTGCCCCCTTTACAGATTTCTAGTGATTTTGCTTTTCTATGAGGCCTACATTTTTCAGACTGTAAAAGGATTGGAAACATATCAGATCCGTAACCATGTTATTTGACAAGATTGATTAAATACCAATGGACTTTTAAAGTCATCCCAAAATATCTCCATTGGAGGAAGTCTAGACTTTGACTAGGCCACTGAAATGCCTTAATTTCTTTAAGAGTAAGTAAGTTTATGCTGTTGCTTGCACAGTTCCTCTTCCTTTTTTACTGTAAACCAATATTGCTGTTTTTTTCAAGCACTGTTAGAGGAGAACCTTTTTTGAGTTCCAGTTACCAGACCTTGATGCACACTTAATGTAATTTAATCTGAGTATGCCTTTTCGAACAGCAGTTTTTTTTTTGTGTAATCTATTTTATCCTTAACTGTACAATATAAATTTTATCTTTTTATGATTCCTGTATTTGATTAAAATAATTTTTTTCAGTGATGATTTCACCTGAATATTTCTGTTTGCCTTTTAAAATTTGCCATTGAAACATTTGAATTTCTTAACAGTAGAACATTAAAGGACATTTCCATTTACATATCTACCTACCAGATGAACATTATAAATCGGTGGTTGAATTATCTTTTAAAGGATATTCTATAAGAAAATGGATTCACCTTTTAAAGAAAAGCTTTGACTGCCATTTTCTTTTTATGGATGTCAATTTATGACACATGTAACAGGACGTACACCTTCTAAAAATTCACCTTTGTCTTGTTAGTCAAAAGAATACTTTTTTAAAAAGTCTCAGGGATCATAAGGATTGTGTTTGTTGTTTTTTTTTTGGTTTCTAGGGCTTTTGACTGTTATTTCTCTCATCCCATTACTCAGGCAGTTAAGGCTTGCAGTGCTTTCCATGTTGTTATTGGTTCTTTTAAACCTCCAGGATCACTGGTTAATGCATTCCTTATCTGAGTAGACCATAACTCTAAGAACTATTCACCACTATGCTAAGATTTTTCTATTTGAGGATAATGCCTCTAACTCTGGCTAGCTGGTGTCCCAAAGCCTTAGCAATGGGGTTATATCCCTTTCCAGAAGCTTACGGTACAATTAAATAGGCAAAAAACCCACATCACAGAAATAAATGCAGTAATTCAATTATACAATGAGAAATGTCAAAATATATCTTATTTAGCTGATTTATTCATGTATTTATTTACCTCTATAAGGCATACCTTATTTATCTATTATTGGTAAAAAATTTCAGCTTTATTATTTAATTACTTGTTTTTTTTTCTGTTTTTTTTTTGTGTACGTGTTTGATTTTTTTGTCTTTCTAAACTCTGTTTATTTCCACCCCTTTTTATTTATGCTTGTCCTTTTTCCGTTTCTTTATGCATTTCTGTTTCATTATGCACATGAAGAGGAGTGGTCTTAAAGGGGAAGCTTCTTCCGATTAGTTGGTTAAACCGCAGAGAATGCTACCAGGACAGCCACAGTCACAACAAAGAATATACCCTTCTCTTCTAAGAAATGTTCATTATTTTCTGATTCTTTTCCTTTTTTAATATGACACAGTTTCCTGAGAGGATGTCATACAGATTGGCATTTCAAAGGTACAACATCTCCAGGGAGTTTTCCTCACACAGAAATCCAGCAAAACTGGCTTGAATAATTTAATTTCACACAGTGCACAAACTGGAAAGAACTTTAGCGAGTCTTTCAAACTGCAGAAATTCTAACACTTGTGATTTAATTTCCAGAAAAACGCCACTCTTTGCCATATTTTTTTGTTCCAAAAAGTCAACAGAGAGAAGCAAGAGTTACTTTCATGGCTGCAATCATTTTGTCACAGCAGGTGAGTCGTTTTCCACATGATGGATATTTCATTTAAGAAGCAAACTTTTCATTTCCAACATAACAATAGTAACCGTGGAAGAAGTGTCTCTTTGTGACTAGATTCTACGTGCCTTTGAAGTGCAGCTGCAGCAACAAGCAGCGATTTGATGATGGGTTTCTGAAGGACAGTGTGACGGGAGAGAAACGCTCCATACTGAGGACTGTGACACCCGCTGTTCTTTTCCCGTCCTCAAATCACTACTTGTTGCAGGTCTACTCTGCCTTTAGCTCTTTTTTTTTTCGGTTACAGAGATTTGTGTATATGTAAGCCTAACCCCCCAGGGAGCAGGAGCAAAGACCAAACAGGCAGCTCAGAGGGGAGAAGATAGGAGGGCTTTTATCCCTGAAATACTCAAGTCACACAAAAGCTTTGCCATTCTGACCAGATTTCTAACTTTGCCTTTTTCTTATTATCATTTCCTGTAACTTTACTTTTCACAATCCTGTTTTCTTTTTCAGAAACTGTAAATCAAGGAAGAGTTTATTCAAAATGGCACATCCCGCTGCTTCCGAACAACTGAAGAGATCACTGCCTTGTCAGATAAAGAAAAAACAGACTGACATTTACTACACATTTTGAGCACTCTGACATTGAAACATGACAGATCCTGTCTATTTTAACTCACAATTCATTAGGATTTCATTCACATTCAGTCTCTGCCGGCAAATTCAGAGAAGGCAGCGTGAGTTTAAAGAGAGAAATCAGATGTGGTGAGCAGCGGCTTACCTTCGCTGTAGCTTCCTTTATTGAAAGGTTTAGTGCCTGCTCCTGTTCTTGGAGTCTGCAAAAAAATCCAATTGATAAAAATAATTATTTTCTTTCAAACAAGAAAAAAGTCAACAGTCAGTCCAACAACACAATCCTTTATTTTTAAAAAACGTTTAAATTAGTTTCTAAATGTACATTTTTATTCAAAAACGTGTGCAAAAAGCTTCACATTTCTGATTAGGACATACTTTTAGGTTTGTTAAAAAAGTTTTGGTATTCTAATGAGATCTCTTTTAAAGAGAAACAGTCCCACAGCATGACAGGTCCTCCACTGTATCCAACAACAGGTATAAGGAACTTGTTCTTCCTTTTGCTCATAATAAAGCTCAACTACAGTCTGATGAACCATGAACAGCATGGTTTCAGTTAAAATTAGACCTGAACGCAGCGCTGTCAACTAACACCCATCAGTTGGCTGTTTGAACACGCCTCAGATGTCAGAGGTCGTGCTGAGACAGGACAGATAACAGGACTTTTAGAAGTGTCAACAGGTACTGTGCTTTTAAGCATCAGCTGGTGCAAAGGAAAAAGAAAAATGGCTGAATTTTCACGTCTTAACAGTGACTCCAAAAACATTTTTGGAATGACTATGACCTGGATGAATGAGAATCTTCACCATGATCTTAACAAGTGAGTTTGCCATCTTGCTTATAGTTAAAAAGTTAGCGAAATAAAGTTTGTCAAAGATTTAAATGATTTTTACTGGTATCCAAGATGAAGAGACAGCTACGTTTAGGCAAAAAGAAGTTTTCTGCAGCCGTTTTCTAACTCAAAATGTTCAACACGAATTTATCCTTCCAATTTGTGGGGAGTGACTAAAATAAACAATCTTCTGTGCCTCGCAATATTTTCCAGGGAATCAGGAAGCCCAGATTTCTAATTAAAAGTTATCAGTTTATATCTGGAATTTAAAATTACACGTTTGCACTTTCTATTTCTGTGTGTGTCAGAGATAATGTGACTGCAACAAAACATGCGTTTATTTATTTATATACAGGGCAGCCAATAGGTGTGGAGGACAAAGTCTGCTGTTTTCATTAGCAGGTCCATTAAAACTGAGTGTTTACATGATTTCCTCAAATCTAAAGTGTAAAGGTCATATCTGTGAAATTATTGCTGCATATGTCTATAAACATGCAAACAGGACAAACCTGCAAGGTCACATTGTATGAGGACAGAGATATAACTTAATTAGAAGATGGGAAAATGGAGCATAAAATCCATTAAGCAAAACATAGTCACCTTGAGAAAGTCCCAGTTCTCTCATATCACAAAGATCATTGGCGCCCTTTACAAGTTATTCAAGCTGATGTTCTAAAATGAGCCCGCCTGAAATGATCACAGACAACCACCTTTTCTGTAGAGATAATCTAATCTGCTGCCATTAGGGGGAAAATACATCGACATGACAAAGAAGAGCAGAGTTAGTCGGACAGAGAGATGACCGCAGCGGGAGGGAAGGCTGTCCAATCAGGATCCACCATTCTAATCTACAGCAGCATGTAAATGTGTAGTATTGGAGGCGATGATGTGTCAGGTATCAAATTATTGCTCTGATGGTGGGTCACATCAGCAAAACACAATAAGTACAATTTACATGTCTTTCTAACGAGTGTCAAGACAGAGGGGCTTTCTGCAGGGCTGGCTCACAAGCTATTAACTTCTAAGGATGAGATGCAAAGTAATCATTAGCATCTGAGAAAAACCATTAAAATTCAAAGCAGGGGCAAGCAGGTGTGAGAGAAGAGGGCTGGAGGCACAGGGGACGCTTTGGAGGAAAAAAAATACTAGAGTACTCAGCGCTTCGTAATGCATTCTAACTGAACATGAAATATTATTCTGCAGGTCTGATCTGTTGCTGTGTTATTTTGTTTTATCAGTTAGGCATCAAAACATGCATGTTCAACCCAAAATATAACAGCAAAATTAGCGTTTATTTTCATTTTAGTAGAGAAAGTTAGGAAAGGTTTTGGTCTTTCCCATTTGGTTTGATGTCATTGGATTTTCAAAATAATCACAGTATGACTCAGTTTTTTTAAGAGAAAAAAACAAAAAACAACCTTGCAGTAAAATCTGTTCTGTTAGAGGATGTAACCCAGGAAAAAAACAAAAAACATCCCCTTTGAGTGAGGTATGAGGAAACCTTGTAAGACAACAAAGGGAAAGGTTTGTATGGATAAGTGGTTGATGGGATTTTTACAGCTCTCTGGCATTCCCAGCTGGGGACTAAAGGTACTACAGTTACACCTGCAGGATTAAAGGGGCTGCATCTGATAACAATAGTTTAGCTCGACAAGAGCCATTCAAAAGCTCTGCTTGTATTTGTATCGTTAAAACACTTAACAGTACATAATTTTATTGTTAACCTTTTAACTCTTCACTATTATGTTATTCTTATACATTTTATAAGGTCCATATTTGTCTGACCATTTTTTTCTATAATTGTTTTGCTGCTGCAAACACCAGAATTAAAGGGATTTTCTATTCTATTCTATTCTTCATTAAGTTATAGTCATAGAATGTATTATAAATACTATTTCATGTTTCATCCATCTACAAGTATATTTCCAATGAATGTGATATGGATATAAACAAAGCTCTGGGATCATATTTAACAGCTGTCAGCTCAGAGATTATCTTGATTCTGAGACTATCTGAGACTTTTACATTTCCCTGACCAGAGATGGGAAGTAACGAAGTACAAATACTTCGTTACTGTACTCAGGTAGATTTTTCTGATATTTGTACTTTGCTTTACTACTTATTTTTATGGCGACTTTTTACTTCTACTCCTTACATTTTTACACAAATATCTGTACTTTCTACTCCTTACATTTAAAAAAATTGGGTCGTTACTTTAGTTTTGAATCATTTCAATGGAGTTACCGTTATTATTTTTCACCTCATCTATACCAAATTCAGTCTAATTGGATGGGAATCTACGTTGCATTTGACGCACCACTACAAGATGAATCAACAGATTCGGCGGTATTCATTCGCGGCAAATCATTGCAGCTTGGTGGCGGTGGTGTTAGCATAGTAGTATGGACGACGAGATGATTGAAAATGAACACAACGGAGATCTAGTCCTATTGGCAGACATCCATTTAAAATGTAGGCAACGGCATGAAAAACTTTTACTTTTACTTTTATACTTTAAGTAAATTTACAAGCCTGTACTTTGTTACTTTTACTTGAGTAAAGAAGTTTAATCAGTACTTCCACTTTTACCAGAGTATTTTTTAACACAAGTATCTGTACTTTTACTCAAATACGGAAAGTGAGTACTTTGGCCATCTCTGTCCCTGACCCTGTAACAACATTCCCTCAAATAATCAAGGGGTAATATCCATTTCCAGCTGATCTGACAACACTGCATGGCATTTAGATGTATATTCACTTCCTGGCAGTGATGGGAGTAACGGAGTTGAAAGTAACGGCGTTACTAACGCCGCTACCTTTTTTAGTAACGAGTAATCAAAATTATTACTCTTACTGTAACTATAACGCAGTTACAATCGCCGACACCCCGTTACTGCACGTTACTCAGGTCGCACAATTAGAGCTGCGTTTCCCCATCACATACGGTTTCCCCTGCATCTCCGCACAGCGCAGCGGCACGATTCACAGCGCAAGCGACAGGAAACGCGTATGCTCGCAAAAGGCGCGTAACAGCCGCCCTGTGCTTCCGCCACAGGGGAACTACGGAGAGCGTGAACGATCATTAGCCTATATGAAGAAAGGGAGAAATATGGATGGATGGATGGATGGATGGATGGATGGATGGATGGATGGATGGATGGATGGATGGATGGATGGATGGATGGATGGATGGATGGATGGATGGATGGATGGATGGATGGATGGATGGATGGATGGATTTAGCTACATGTTGCAGTATCTATAACAACCCAAACACAGGATTTCAGAATTAGACATCCCCAGTTATTAATTTCATACACTCAAAAGTAACGCAATAGTTACTTTTACTACTAACTAGTTACTTTTATTGTGGAGTAACTCAGTTACTAACTCAGTTACTTTTTGGGAGAAGTAACTAGTAACTATAACTAATTACTTTTTCAAAGTAACTTGCCCAACACTGCTTCCTGGACAGAAAAAAATAAGTAAATAATGTCTTTAAAACCAAAGCATCTCACATTGCATGCATTCAAAAAGTAATGGAAAACCCGAAAGTGCCGCAGTTAAATAAAATATCCGTTAATATTATTTAACCTGCATTATGCTCATTAGGAACACACCCAAAATCTTTGGTCACAGACTTCCTGGCTAAGCAAGGAAAGGAAGTGAAATACTTTTCCTTTCTGTGTTTCTGACCTGAGTTTTGAGGGTGGAGGGGAGACGGAGATCTGCGTGCGGTTTTCAGACGTGACGAGGTCCTGCAGGGTCCGGCTCATGTCCCGGAGCTGAGCCACACCGCAGCTCCTCAGAACTGAGCCTTCCAGCTCCATGTCCTCCACCCGCTGCTCCTCCTGCAGGATCAGTTTCTCCAGACATCGACTACGATCCTTCAGCCTTGTCAGCCTTATCTGGAGCTCCTCAATTTCCTCCTGTTAAGATGTCCCAAAGGAATAATTAATATACCTACACAAATTTAATTCATGTCTTACCATGAGTCCCCCGCTCAGTCAAAAGTACAGGTGATGGTCCAAAAGTTAGAACATACAATAACTGATTATACAAAAAAAACTGTATTATTTAATTTTTTTAACTTGAGCATTTCATTCTTCTTCATTTTATTCTTTCAAACTCAAATAAAAAAAACATAATTATGTTTGTATGTATGTGTATACATATGTATGTATATGTAATCAAAATAAATACTAAATAAAATCATATCATAAACCTGTATTTATAAAACTGGAGCTCTTTATCCATCATCCATATATTTTACTTTGTTTTTATCATTCATGACACCCGAGCTGCTTTGATCAGGTGTGATAAACAGCTGATCCCAGGATGTTCTCTACATCCAGCCTGTTCCTCTGCTTGGTTTGGATGTGTGTCAAAGCTTAAGATGAACTCAAACATATAAGAATAACTTGCTGTTTGCTTGAAAAAAGCTAGTTTTAGTTTCAATTACATCCGCACAAAGTAGAACAGATCCCAGCTCTATTTTTATTACCTAAGATATAAAATATTTGCAGTTACCCCTTGCAATGCACTTGCAGACCACTCTAGGGCCACAAGTACCCCCTGTTTGGATTTACTGTGTTAACGGATGTAGTTGGGAAATGCTTCTTTTAGGAGGCACATCCATTTGGGAGAGGAACTCAGAGTAGCTGTGGCTATCTGGCTTTCCCTCTGGCACCTGTTTTCCCTAAATAAAAAAAAGAAGAATCCTATTTTTTCATCCCTGACAAAAAAAAAAGTACACCGGTCATATCTTCCCTAATATCTTCAACAAGTCTTCATTATTAGTCCCATGAAACACACCACTACAGACTATAATAACTTGGACCTGTCATCTTGACATCCATGGTCATGAAATCCCTTTAGCAACTCCTGTTAAAGTATCTGAAGAAGATTGCAGGCCAACTAATGGACCTCCTGCAGTTTGTTTACTGGACAAACGGATCAGTAGATGATGGAATCAACCTGGGACTGCCCTTCATCATGCACAACCTCAGCCACCCAGGATGCAAGGCTAGATCCTGTTTGTGCACTTTGGTCCTGCCTTTAAAACAAGTCATCCTGCACAATAAGCTAACCCTGCTAACAGTATCCTCCTCCATCTGTAAGTGGATCATCAGCTTCCTGACTCACAAGCAGCAGCAGGGGAGGCTGGGAGGCATCTTCTATGAAACTTTGCAGATGACAGCGCTGTCATTGTTCTGATTAAGGACAATAATCTTTGTGCACAGAACCATCTTGAATCACTTAAGACAGTGGAGATCTCAAAAACAGCCATATTGCTCTTTCTTTGCAAAGTGATACTATTTTATTCATCCTCTTATTATTCCCATATAAATTAAATTAAAACACTGATTGGCCCCTTTACTGACCCCCCTAAACTCCATTGAGTAGAGCCTCTTTTACTAAGCGGTTTTGAGCCTTCATGCTAAAAGTTTGCAGCAGGGAGAAATTCTGAAATCTGCAATAAAGTAAAGAAAAAAGAGAAATTGTCTGTCTGCATTTTTGTTTATATTCTCTCTATCAAGTCCATACTGTCCTGTTAATCTGTCATGATTGAGTTTCCTTTTTTTTCCATATATAACAAATCATTATAATTCACTTAAATAAACCACCCATTTTCCTAAAGATATAATTAATGTTAATACGATTCTGAACGTCACAAAACACAGAAGAGATCAAAAACAGATGCCATCCATCGCTCACAGAGCCAACATGTCTGTGATATAGAAACACTGCATATCAAACAGATGCTGACCTACTGAATAAAGTTTATTCTATTCATAAAGACAGTTTATTCACATTTGGTGTCCTTATAGCAGTACAAGTGCCACCATAGCTTAAATAACCTTTTTAAAATCGGATTCAAATTTTTACATTGCAATTATGTGTAGGCTTTTAAAGCACAGTTTATATCGTTAAGTAAAAAAATCATAGTTAAAAAACTATGATTTTTAAAGGTATATTAAATATATATACCATGGATTTTGCTGGTTATTCATATTTATTTTTTGTTTTTAGTACCGTGCACCCAGATACCCCTCTATTGTTTGTTTGTTTTGTACATTGGAGTAGTGCGCACTGAGCTTCTGATGAAGAGGGACGGCCGGGGTCTGGTGGGTCGGTCTCTCCAACACAGAATCCTTTTCAGAACATAGATCCAATAGCATTGAGGGAGTCTGATCGGCAGAGCAGCATTACGCACGGATATCAAAACGACAAACCATTTACAGCAAGCACCTTGTTATATTAATGTATCCATCTGTGATAAAATTTGGCGTGTTGATCATCAGGGAGAGGATTCTTATTTAGGATTTGAGTTGCTCATAGGTCTGTTTTAATTTTTTTTGACAGGTCCTCATGTTTAGTTATGGTTCACCAGTGTGTTTAGGAATTCCACTGCAACAGTGGATGTTTATGAAGAAATCCATCATAAATAATGTTTTCTATTAAGTCTAATTGAATATCTGAGGACTTAATCTGGCTTAATCTCTTTGCCTCGCCATCTGTGGCATCGTTTTGCCCTTTTCTCAAAAATTTGTGTGCACATGGTCAGAGTTGGTGTAGCACACATTCCACATCAAGTTTGTTTTAGTGACAAACTGCTTATGCAGGTTTCAGGCCCCGTTTTGTGCATATGCAAGCATAATAAATCAGACCCCTGCTCCTTGGCCAATGAGGGCGATTCCAATTCAGAATGTGTATTTGATGTTTTATCTCAGGGGAATTCTTACTGGGATTACATTTCCAACTAATGATAACAATTCAATAAGAATTCGATGTACCTCAACCAGACGATTTTCTTGAATCAAGTGATCCCTTCGTTGCACTGCGGCCTGCAGCAGGTCAGGCTGCTCCACTGAGTCTGGTTCAGACGCCTCTCTGCCAAGGAATCATGAAAACCATTTTACTGTATGAATTTCCCCCCAATTTGAACCACTAACTCCAATTATTTAAACAACTAGGAGATTTTATCATATCTGATTTAACATCCACCCCGTCAGAGAGACTATAAGGCTTCATAAGCTTTAGATTAGAGTTTCCCTCTGTGGACGCCCCACCTGATTTCCTTCCTGTGAAAGGAGCTGTTTTTAGTGCAGCCATGCTGTGCTCTAAGCTACTGTCACAACAGCAGCATGAACAGGAAAAGATTCGTATCTCAGTCCATTTTTCAACCTGAAACATGCATGTTTATGTGCAACTGCTGCCCTTCGCTTCCCCGAAATGGAAAATCATGAGTATCCTTTGGTGTGACCAACCTGCATTGGCTGCAGTCTGCCCTCTGGAGGGCGCTGTGTACCACCTTTGTGAGTCTCTCCAGGAACAGAGCCACACTGGGCTGCATGGAGGGTAAACCCAGTTTTAGAGATCCACGCTCTCTGCACAGCTCCTCCAGCTTCTTCCCAAACCGCTCAGCTAAAAATGTAAATAAACATTAAGGTAAAAACCGTGAAAGATTTCAGCTAAAGGATTATGGATTTATGCAACCATACAGTCCTTTTGTATCAACTTTAGATTATTCAACAAAAATTTTCCAGATTTCCATGCCTTTACATCTGTTAATAATGATGCTTTTGCTTACAGATGAAGGAAACACAACAGATTTATGAAGAAAAAAACTGTTCAATACAGAAAAAGAACCATTTATAATCTGACAATTGAGTCTCATTAGAATTTATATTCTAGTATATTTAAAATTACTTATTTCTCTGGGATCATTGTGCTTTCTTCTTTAATAGGTAGCTGTCAAACATCAAGCATGGTGCCATATTTACTCGACTTTGAGCCTCTCTTTAGTTGCATTAGAAATTATAAGGAAAAATGAAAAAAAGAGGTTTTCTAGGACCTTTATATGCTTCACATTCTAAGAACTATAAGGCAAAAGAAGATCCTCTGCCCTCTCTTTGTAAAACAGGCTGATAAAATCTTTTCAAACCCAGAGATATTAAACAATTAGCTTTAAAAATGTCCAAAATAGATTTGCAATGCACTGCATGAGGACAGTAATGCTGACAGTACGCAATGTTCTGAGCATACGATCACTGTACTCAGATATGCTGAATACTGGCTATGTCTTACTGAATTATGTCTGTCACAAGGCTCAAGAAATAGGTCACAATACTGTCGTGTTTGAAATAACATGTTCCTCAGGTCAGGCAGGAAGAAAACATTCAGGTTAAGCAGCTAAGAAAACAGATGCAACTGAGATGACATCTTTATTCTGAATCAAATCTTAATGATACAGTAGCTTGTTTTAGATTAGATGTTTGATCAAATAAATTCCATTTAAAATCCACACAAATGTTGAGTGATGAAGCTTAAAGAGTGGATGAGCTAACCTGGGGTCATCCAAAGCAAAAGACGGTTGAGAAGACAGATGGTGGCAGGAAGGCAGGAATAGATAGGAGGAATATAGAAAGTCAGGGTTGAAGGAGCTGCTGTACAACATGATAGTGAGATTTGTTATGTTTGGGTTAGGGAGAAAGGCAGGAGGCTGATATGTAGATGCAGCTTATTTTTTTATTCATCATAAATCAAAGGGACAGCTAAGGTTGAGAATTTGGAGACAAAGTCAGACGGTCGAAGGAGATTTGTTTTAGATGCATTAGAGTTGGAAGAGTGGACAGATTGGAAAAATAATTATGAATAAATTACTTTGAGGGAAAAGAAAAAGAAGAAGAGGACAGAGAAGGTTCAAGAAACGTGACATTTAATCTGCTGTAATGAAAGTGAAGAATAAAAAAGAAATAGACTCTCCTAGGATGGGTTCATTTAAACCCTGAACTGGAACAAATTGTTTGTTTTTTACTAAATATAGACAAAAAAATTATATTAAATAATATAGAACAACCATTAAAAAAAAAGAGACTGAATAAAAATTATATTCTACATTTTGAAAATCTACAAATCTATTTGATGAACCCTGATAGTTTAATGAGCTGATATGATCAGAGGGAAACTTACTGCGTCGTCTTCTAATTATTCAATTCAACGACAAAATATTTGCAGCGTAAATTAGTCAGTTATTTTTCTATTTTCTCACAAGGCAAACAATATCATCAAAGCACCCAAATGGCACAAAAACTCTGATAGGTCAACAAGAGAAGTTCTTATTCAAGCTGAACGTTAAAGTAATACATTTGTTCAAAGTTCACCTGCATCATAGTCGTCATCCAGAATGGCTTTCTGCTGGAGCCTCTGAAGCTTCATCATCATGGACTCGATCTTTGAGAAGACAGAACAGACCAGGTTTTTTTAAACAGTTACCCCAGAGAGCAACGACCCTCAAGTCAAATGGACTCAGTCAACAAGTGTTGAAAGCTTTGCAACATTTCATCAACACTGAAATCACGAGTTAACTGCGAGATTTAGATAATGTGTTTCAGCATCATCCTTTCAGGGTATTTCTCAGATGGGACTGTCCAGCATAAGAATAACATAGCTTTAATTACAGCCATGAATGTCAATATTTCAGGTTGTTAATGGAGCTCTGAGCCATTTATATCAAGGCTGCGATTATAGGACAATTTAAAGCTCAAATGCAATAATTTGTTGCAAAAAATTGGCTCATGTATCTTTGACTCACATGGATTCATAATTATACATACAGCTAAAATCCATACATACGAAATTCTAAGTCTAAATGATGTCGTAAATGCTATTTGCAGCAATAAATAAGCCTCTGGCATCATTTAAAGCTCATTTGACTTTAATTGCTTCTTGCATTAGAAATGGCTTTGAAGGATTCTCCATTTTGTTACAAAACTGAGATCTTAACCAGTGGAAGCTCCATTATAATCGTTTTAAAATCAGCTTTAATAAATATATGTGATCAGAATATTTGAAAAGCAACAACTGGGTTTCATTTCTAGCCCTTTAACCCTAGTGATCATCCTTATAGAGCGACAAAATAAATATTTAAAAACTAACCCCTTCAAGTTGGATATAAATCTGAAATTACAAACTGAATGTCTCCTAAACAATTTTACATGCTTGAGGGGAAAAAAGATTAAGTTATTTAGCCAAAATGGGGTAAAGAATATTCGTGGGTGTAAATAAAGAATGCTATGCTAGCTGTCAGGTATGGTGGTGGCAGCATGATGCTAAGGATTTGGTTTACACTATCATAATGAAGATGGAAGGCTACCAAGAAATTGTTCATCCTTAGGAAAGAGATCATATCTCTCCTATCTTAGCTTCTCTTTATTGGCTTCCTGTTAAATCCAGAATAGAATTTAAAATCCTCCTTCTCACATATAAAGCCTTAAATGGCCAAGCTCCATCTGATATCAGAGATCTGATTGTTCCTTATGTTCCTAACAGAGCACTTTGCTCTTAATCTGCAGGTTTACTAGTGGTTCTTAGAATTTCTAAAAGTAAAACTGAGGCAGATCTTTTAGTTATCAGGCTCCTCTCCCTTGGAACCAGTTTTAGTCCGTGAGGCAGACACCCTGTCTACTTTTAAGGCTAGGCTTAGAACTTTCCTTTCTGATAAAGCTTATAGTTAGAGTGGCTCAGGTTATTCCGAGCTATCTCTATAGTTATGCTGCTATAGGCTTAGACTGCTGGAGGACATAGCGACCCCCATTTCATCATTCTATCTCTATTCTCCTACTCTGCAGAATCTGTTAGTTTATGTCATCTCTGCTTTTTCTCATAGTAGCTTCTCCTCGTCTGTTCCTGTTTGGCTGTGACTCCATCCTGGAGAGAAATATCAGCTGAGCTTCTCCCATCAACATAATTGTTTATAGATGTTTGAGCTTGGCCTATTTTTCAGTGTAGTCCTGTTTCCCTGACTGTGACTGGCTGGATGTGCTCTTTTTCCTCTGACGTGGGAGCGATCTCTGAGCTTTTTCTGCATGGCTCTGTGTTTCCTGGACGGGGCCGCCTGTGGAGCTGGTTGACAAGTTCTTTTGTATCTCCGCTTCTGTCTCCTTGAACCCCAGTCGGCCTCAGCAGATGGCCGCTCACACTGAGCCTGGTTCTGCTGGAGGTTTCTTCCTGTTAAAAGGGAGTTTTTTCTCTCCACCGTCGCTATAAGCATGTTTGGTGTGAGGGATTACCTTCGAGTCAATGAGTCGATGCAATCAGCTGGTTTTCTTTAGGTTGAAATCTTTGAATCAATTTGACTGGATGATCTGGTGAACTGTACAGTGCCTTAAGATGACATGTTGTGAATTGGCGCTATAGAAATAAACTGAATTGAATTATTTTAGAAGCAACATCTAAGATGGTTGAAACCTGGAGACAGTTGGATGTCCCCACGGGACATTTTTAGGCGCATAGAGAAGGCTAACTTAGCTTCTCCAAGACCCAAATTCTACCCTGTTTACAGTTAATAGTATAAACAGCGCTTTAAGGTTGAGCCTGACATAAATAAATTTTAATTAACTCAGCCAAACATTTCAAGTCTAAAAAAAAAATTGTCTTATTTCTTCTTATCTTAGACTAAGAGCTGCATGTCATTTCCACATCAAGGGTTCAGTCGTACCCACCTTGGTGTAAGCACGGTTGTTTTGGAGGCAGTCTTGTAGTACCCCTTCGTACTTCTTCACCAGGATCTCCCAGCCTTGCTCCGAGGCAGGCGTGGCGCTTTCATAGCCAGAGGTGACAGAGGAGGCGGAGGCCGTGTCCGAGTCCACAGACAGGGAGGAAATAACCTCTATGTCAAGAGGTTGGGACTCACAGTTTAGAAGGTGAGGAATTTCCTCTTTGCCACCCAACAGAGAGTCCCGACAGCTTCTCCCCGCACATGACTGCTCCTCTCTGTGGACCTGACTGCCTGGAGCCGAGGGTGGCAGTGACTGGGTGGGAGATGACTGCTTTAAAGGAACGTGCTTGCAGGATGATACCTCTCCTCTTTTTTCTAAACTAGCTGGTTGACTTGTTGCTTCTGTCCTCTGGATGCAGCTAAGGGACTGCTGGATGAAGCTAAAACTTGAGTTAAAAGAGTCCTGAGACGAAGACTGCAAGCTTGGATAGAGTTCATTCTGAGACGGAGAGGACTGGACCAGGTGGCCCACTGGTTTCTGAACTCCATTTACAGAGCCGGGTCCGTTTTTACTATGTGAACCAGTAGATTTTGTGCAACGCTGATTGTTCATTAAAGACATTTTAACAGCAGGAGTTTGACTCAACACTTGAACTGTGGTTGCCTCGGTGACATCAGTGCGACGTCCAGATTTTCCTTTCCTAATGCAAGCGATGCTCTCCTCTTCCTCCTCCTCCTCATCCTCCTGAGCAAGAGCTGTGCACTGCAGCCTGGCCTGCTCTCCTCTCATGTACCCTGGCCTCCTGTGGAGCCTCTTACGGCCAGAGTTGCCAGCTGTCCCGGATGCTTTGCCACCTGTCGATGCAGAGATTAACCATTAAGCTGGGCAACGGGTTCATGAGGGAGATAAGGTGTGAGCTCATCGAGCTGGCAGGATAAACGGTGACATCACAATGTAGCATGGAAATCTGTTCAAGGTGCTAATATCACAGACAACGTAGAACATGATGTTGTTCTGTACTTTAACCCTGTTACAGCTCAGCACAGATATCTGAATGAAAAAAAACCTGAGCTGCTGTGCAACATTTCCCACAGTTCAGCTCCAGCTGTTGGGAAATACCAAAGCAACCCAGTCATATTTTAAACCAAGACACGCCTCTATGTGGGAAAAATGGCCAAGTAAAAAAAAAACATTTCCAAAACTGTCATTTGATTTCTTCTTCTCAGGCCAACAAGTTAGCTTAATTAAACAATTGTAGATAACTTACAGTAATAGCACAATAATACAAGATTTGTTTTAGCAACTGAATTACGTTTCAGAGAAAAAAAAAAGAATGCATCAGTTAAACTCATTTTGTTTTTTTTAACCTTCATTGCCATGTGCAACTATTTGTATCCCTATTTTTACACAACTTTTACTCTTTTTTTTTATTTTGTAAACACAGAGTGTATACAAAACAAAATTTTGTTTAGTAAAGCTTTCAGACAGTAAGTCAGCATTACATACACAAACTTTAAAGTATAAGGATTTATGTGAAGGACAACAAACAGTAGTGAATAATAATAGGAATGTGAAGGGTAAGTATGCACTTTAAAAATTGCACAAAATATTTAGGACCCAAACTCAATGTTTAGCATTTTCTTCTCTACAGAATATTTCAGCAGGTTTTCGATTTAAAAAAAATGCTTAAACTCAGTCAGCATGGATGGAGGACATAGATTAAAATCTGCTTCTAGTCTTGCCTGGAATTCTAACTTAAATTTAGATCTGGCCTTTGACTAGGCCACTGTTTCACCTCAATATGCTTCGATCTAAATCATTGCAAATTACTCTGGTTGGTTGTTTAAGGTTGCCGTCCTCCTGAGTGAACCTTCATCATAGTGTGACATCTTTTAACAGTTAAATCTTTTTTTCCATGTGCAAAACATCTTGTATTTCGTTCTGTTCACCTTCCACCAATCATGACCACCTTCTGTCACTACTAAAGAAAAATTCTCATAGAATGATGGCTCTGTCAATATTGTGTTTTTAGGTTGATGCCAGTTTTTTTACTATTAATTTGTTCATCTTTCACGTCAAAATGTTAGATTTTGGTCACATCTAACAGAAAGTCTTTATCATGTTTTCTGTCTCCCCTTTTGTTGCTTGTGTTGAACTGCTAATGTGAGTTTTGATGGGTTCTTATTTAAAGTTTCTTTATTTATCCATAAAGTTATGCTGTTTTCTCAGCGGATTCTTCCATCTGAGCCAACCAGACTTAATTCAAGCCATTTTCCATTTTCGTGGTGTGAGGAGTGGTTCTTGAGGTCTCCCAAGCCTTCGATATTGTTTCATGACCTATATCGACAATTTTTCATCAACCTGTCTGCAGTGCCCTATAACAAACATCTGGGGCTTTATCAAAATATCTCCACAATGAAAATGAACCACTCACATGCGGCCTGTTTCCAAATGTCATTTATTTCTAAATGCACCTGGTGTCTGCATTTGATTTTGAGGATTAAGGGTGAGGAGATCTTAATACAAATACCACAGAAAATTTTAAGATATTCTTAAGACAAGGCTCTCTGAGAAATTATCATATCTTGACAATTTTGAATAAACTAAGAAAAGGTTCACATTATGAGTTTAAAGATTTTTTAATAATATCTTGGGAAAAACTTAAAATATGGCAGATTATGACCATGATCACGAGTATTTATAAGAAACTTCGTGTTGGTAATAATTATTATTTAGTGAAATAAATCTGCTGCATCAGCAGCAATCATGGACGCAAGTATTTTTTAATATAACTAACTTCAGTGTGTTTCACCATCCAATCACAGACTCGAATTACCTGATGTTTGTAAAGTGAGCTTCCCAGGAGTGGCATTAGTAAAAGCCAATCCCACAAGAAAAGACGGTGGGCCAATCAGGAGCTTGTGGGCGGTCTAACGTCAGGGAAGTGGGCTTCAGTTTGACCTGTGGTTTTCCGCTTGGTCCTAGTGCTCTACCAATGTCTGTGTACTATAGTATAACATTGTTTTTGGACAGTAAAACATCCAGGGGACCAAAACGGACATTTGAAAAAGTGTAGGGGACATGTCCCCCCAAAAAATTACGTCCATGGCTGCAATGGTAGTAGATATGCACCGGTCCATGTTTTTACAATCCAATCAAATACCCATAATTGGACTGTGTGTATCGCCCCATATTGATCTGATACTATTATTGAATGAATATAAACTTTAAGTCACCAGATCGCTCTAATTGTATTGATGTGTATAATATCAATAAAAATACAAATGATTGGATTAGAATGATGGATTAGCATCATTCATTCAAACATTTATGCAGCTAATTGCGTAACATGAGTCGATCCAATCCAAATATTATATTGGTGCATCACTACATAGAGGCTTATAATGTCTACTGCTGGGTTTATAGTGATGCAACTCTATAAAAAACTGAAGAGAATATTTCAAATTGAAAAAAATGAAATTCAACCCTAAGACGATCTCTGGAAAAAGTCTGACTGGATCTGCACAAAACCTCCACAGCAGAAAGTACTATTTCATTTTTTTTTTTTTTTACTGGAAAAAAAGAAATAAAGATTCAATTGAAATTAAGACACCCTTATACACAAGATTCAAGCTCAGCTTCAACAAATTTATTTTTTTTTTTTTTACGTTTATGGAAAGGAAATGGAATAAGGAGAAGAAATGGTGAAAAATCGATATTTAGTTGGGGGTGCAGAGCTTTTGTTTGTTTTGTTTTGTTTGCTCACCAAAAGTAGCTCCAGATCAATGTGGGAAGTGAAGTCAAAGAAACTTTGAAAAATCTAAAGTAAGTAACTAACATATGCTCGAATGAACTGTATCAAAATAAGGATGCTTATATTCTTATATTAGTGGATGTTATACCTTCAAACTGTTTGCATTTTAACTGGTATTTAGGCCTAATTAGGTGGATAAATGATAAATCCCTGTTTGTGTTTGGATCTAGACACCTGCTGCAAATGGCTGTGCAAAGCGATTAAAGCATATAATGTGTAGGATTCAGAGGAGACAAGCTGAGATGCTGGGAATCAACAGCCTCTTTGTGTGCAGCTGCGCTCCCCCCTTTCGCTCTTTTTTTCCCTCCACTCATGCACAGACTTAAAGCACAGCGACACACTGACACGTTTGTGCTGTAAAAGAGTGGAATTAGATAAGCATTGTTCATGTCACACAATAAAAGAAGCTACTGCGCTTTTACAGTTCGTTGTTTGAATGCGCAGACTTGATGTCTCGCGGCGATCTGTGTCAAAACCAGAAAACAGGCTAAGCAGCCGCAGCCCACAGTGACCTCCAGTGATGCAATCCTCCCATGTGACCGGGAGCGGAGGTGACAAACTGAATCCACTTTAAGATGTCAGGCAGACATTGCTATGAGAGTGATAATGAGCTTGTGTCCATGTTGGGCTCAGTATAAGAGCTCCTGGTCCACTGGGACCACAACACTAAAGCTCAGGTTCCGCACAGCTCCATCCATTAGAGCGCCGCTGCAGACGTGGCCACTGTTCCATGAAAGACTAAAGTAACCCAACCCTCCTTCCTAAGGACTGAATACCACAGTACCATCCACCATCTGGTGTGGTGGCCATTATTATATAGAAAACTCTCAAGAGAATTAAAGAGACTCGTTAGTGAAAGGAGAAGGACTTGGCGGTGGTGTTACTGTATCCTCCGCTCTATTCATGTGCACAAAGAAGGCTTTTCCCAGTAAAAGGGAAGGAAATGCCTGGGGGCTCATTCTGTCTGACTGCTTGTGTGTGTGTGAGTGTGTTTGTTGGGACATTGACTTCTCTGCCTTTCAGGGGTATGTCACTCTCTGCTTCCTGCGAGGCAGTGAGCTAAAATAGTTTATCAGGAATCCCATCAGGAGACACAAATAAGCAAAAGATGGCCTTCGGTGCAATTCTGCTGCAGTAACAACTATTCCCTCTTTGCTTTTTGTAAAGTCTGGGAAAAGGGAAGGCCCATAAAAGCCAGAGGAGGTAAAGTTGTTTACCTATGGAGATAAAAGAGGCCCTTAGGTTATACACAGCGCCCTCACCGGCTGCTGAAATAACACAAGAATGCAGAGGCGCTCATAAAAACACAAACATTTGAGGAACAGGATCAGTGCACAAGAAGTCCTGCTTGTCAGCAACCTCCTGAGAAGCAGCGCTGCTCAGCAGATGTGCAGTTCCTCGACGTTTGTGACGAGGAGTGGCAGCGAGAAGAGGGAAGTGAAAACGAACCATGAGACAAATCCGAAAACTGAACACTTTTAAAAACAGGGAACTTAAATATAACCCATGAAAGTCAACAATTAGAAATCTCTGCTGCTGTGAGGCTTCAATGCCCAACTTCCTGCGTGCTCCCATGAGAATCATAAGGCTGGAGAATGTGACAGGGTGGATGCTGTGGGCACATATTTAGACACTTCTTACATTCTGCTTTATAATTGCATGTTCTGGTTACAATTAGGGCTGAAACTAACGATTATTTTGCAAATCTATTAATCTGTTGATTCTTTTTTGATAAATCAATCAATAATCGAATAGGAAAAGGTTCCTTAAAGAAGAAGAACATAATTAAACCAAGTGAAAAAATAAAGCTTCTCCACTTGAGTTCTAGATACTTCACATTGTCAGATAAAAAAGGGTTGTTTTTTTTATCTTAAATGCCAAATGTTTACATATATTCTTTTATTTTGGCAAAACTACTGCCGTAAGTTGGTGGCTCTATCAGCTAAAGGCTTGTTTTTGAGTCTCTAAACTCCAGTTAACGATTAATCGATTATTAAATTAGTTGATGATTGTTAAAATAATGGATTAATTAATGAAGTGTCTAAATACTGTATGTGCTTACAGCATCCGCCCTGTTTCACCCCTAGTTACAGTCAGAGAATATAGAAGACAAAGAGGAACAAAGGTGGGTACTATCCCTGTTACCCCCACAACAACTTCAATCAATGCAATAGAAGCATCTTACATTAATACTGTTTTGAAGGGGATGAGATTTTATAGGACTTACTAGTTAATATCCTGTTTCCTCTGGGTTTAAATAGAGAAACTGTGATTCAAATGTTAGTTTCTTTTAGCCACTAGCCTTTAGGATCAAGAGGATGGAGATGAAAAAAGATCCACAGCTCACTGTCAGAGACCTGCAGCAAAGGGTCACATCTTTGGGGTCACTACAGCCCCTTTTCCATCAGCTCCACATGGCCTGGCTCCATTCCACCCCATCAGATTTCAGATGTTTGCATTACTTCTTTTTCAGTAGCAGTTGTGACTTTGTTCTGTCCTGCTCAGGACTCTGTACGATCAGAGATGAGTATGGCTGCAGTTAACAGCATTACTGAAAAAGTAGGAATGGATAAGTTTTAAAACTAGTGGGGTGGATTAAGGCAAGGCAAGTTTTCTATCTAGCACATTTCACTAGTGAGACAATTAAAAGTGCTGTACATGACAAAAAGAACAGCACATCACAATTACATGAAGATAATTGAATAGTTGATGAACAAAAATAATTAAATAGAATAGAAAATAAAAATAAATAATTAAAATATTATATGATTGTATAAGAAACAAAATAAGAAAATGAAAGGAAAGTTGGACTGAACACTAGGGCTGCAACAAACGAATATTTTGCAAATCTATTAAAGCTACAGTGTGTAATTTTCAGCGACATCTAACGTCCAGACTGCAGACCGCAGCAACATGAACATCTCCCCCCCACCGCTTCTCCCCCCCAACAGTACGGTGAGCGTTACGGGACAAAATGTCTTCCACGACGTGGGCATCACCTACCTTCTCAAGTGATGAGGTTTGTTTACATAGATAATTTTACAGATAGTATTTCATTAGTCTGTGTGTTCAGTACCGTCTCAGTTCATCTCTCTCAACTTGCCGTAGTTATTTTCGAGCGTAATGGCCGATCTCGCAATCGCTAGTTTGTTGGCTCTGCGCTGCTGTAGCGCAAAGATGTCTGCCTCCATGGCTGCGAGACCCGCTCCTATGTAATTATAAATAACGAATTCTAAGGCAACGCAAATATTAAGGTCAAGAGGCTGAGCTCGTAGATGATGATAAATAACATAGTTATGTATAATATATTACATTTCTGACTGTATATCCCTGTAATTATTACACACTGTAGCTTTAATCTTTCTATTATTTTTTCGATTAATAATCAGATAGTTAAAGGTTCTTTAAAGATGAATTTTTACAAAATTTAACCAGGTGAAACTAAACGTTTTCCACCTGAGGAGTGCTGGATAGAGAATATTAACAGACGAAAAGTTTTTTTTATCCTAAATGCAAAATGTTTACAGATTTTTTTTTTACAATTTTAGGATAATTGCTGCTCTAAGTGAGTCGCTCTGTCAGCTAAAGGCATGTTTTAGAGTCTCTACACTCCAGTTAACGATTAATCGATTTCTGAATAAGTTGCCGATTATTTCAATAATCGATTAACCAAGATTAATTGTTTCAGCCCTAGTTACAATAGAAGATCACTCTAAACAACTAGGTTTTTAATCTTGACTTAAAGCAACTTGGGGTTTCAGTGCTTTCACGGTTTTCTGAGAGTTTGTTCCAGATTAGAGGAGCAAAACTACTAAAAAATCTGCTTTCAAAGATCTCCCCACCATCACAAACCTCACATGTTAAGTTTGCAACAAAGAACTAGGACTTCAACTTTGGTCAAATGAGAAAAATGAGCCCTTCACAACAACAAACAGTCACGTTTGGCTTGGTGTGAAACAAGATGTGGAAGGCCACATTATGCCACATTATTCAGTGAGCTCATCAATTCTAGAAAACCTGTTTCAGAATTTTTTTTTTTTTTTTTTTTTTTTTTTTTCAATTAATAAAAAGTCTGGTGAGCTCTCACAGAAAATATCAAGTTTTTTTTTAAGGCAATTCTCATCCAGGCAGTAGGCAGACTGGATCATCATTTGTTAAATTAATTTAAAAAAAACTGGGGAAAAAATCCAGACTTACAAAATAGAGGGCAGTGCAAAAGAAAGAGTTAAAAGCATCAATTTGTTACCTTAAGCTCAAGGGAAGAGTAAAAAAAATAATCAAACAATGAACAGAACATTGATGAGCATAAGCTTACAATATGGCATATATAGAAAGTGCAGAAAAATACTCATGCCATTTGCAGAGGACCAGGTTGATCTAGAGACTTAGAATCAGCTTTATTTATCCAATGGATAATAAAAAGTATTACTCTTTTAGGGAAAATCTGGTTCCAGTAACTTATATAGGGTACAAAGAGTTAAAGGAAGATGCCATTAAAGATAAAGATGTGACAAACAATGTAAAAAGAGTGTATATAGTGCAAAAAAAAAAACATTAAAAAAGGAAAAAAGGTTGTAATGTCCTGAAGAATGTTTCCCTTAAATATAAAAATATCTGCACAGTTGAGAGCTAAGGGAAGACTACATAGTAGTTGACTTAGATTATTGCACAAATGTACTGACCTCATAAATAAATTAAAAAATTACATAGGCTAGACAGTAGTTGGCATGTGTTATTGCACAGTGAGAGAGAAGAATATTGCACGACTGACAATAGGTAATGTTTTGCATACGATGTCCAAGGAGGAGGGTGCTGACCCCTGTCCCTCCTCCTATCACCTCCTCCATCCCCCAAGTGAGGAGTTGTACAGAGTGATGGCTTGGGGAACACCAAGCTGTACAACTCCTCACTTAGGGTAAGGATACTAGGATAGAAGGATAGATAGAGAGCATATATTATCATTAAAAACTGTTTTCTGTATTTTAATTAGGTTATTTTCCCCAGATATCAAAATGCATCTAATGGTCTGACACATTTAAGTGAGGATTCTATTCTATAAGGCAAGTTTACTTATAGAATCATTCATTAAAGAGGCAATCTAAAGTGCTCTATAGAACATAAAGGTTTGTAAATCATGAAAAAAAACAGAGTTTCAAACAGGTCATTAGTCAGATTAATCAAAGCTGCAGTAAAATAAAATGATGTTTTCAAACTTGATTTTACGCAGTCGATAGTTTCTGCACATCTCAGGTTTCTAGGAAGTTTGTTCCAAGGTTGAGGAGCAAAGAAACTCAGTGTTTTCAAAGCTGTTGTGGGTCTGACCGTGGGAAAACTGAGTTTGCAGGACTCTGAAGTCTTAAAAGTGGCTACACCTTTCAAACTTTACAAGAAACCCAAAAATCAATTCTGGATCCCCAATTACGTAAAACACTTTTAAAGCCTTTTGTTGCGTTGGTCCAGAGACTTTGGCAAAAGCATCTTGGAATAGCTACAGCAGCCTGATTATTATCATTATTATTTATTTACAAAGACCAGTAAAGACATTGTTGGGATAGACTTACAAAAATACAGGCATGCACCCGTTTTAATGTGTGATGTCATTAATGTGACATGAAAAATCTTATCTATCCTTTATCATCTATAATTTGCTGATTCAATAACAGACTCTCTGTGATTGTCAACATTTATTCTACAGCTTCCCTCAGCTTCCTGTTGTTATTCTTTAGTCTCATTAGGTTTGGCTTAGTCTCTATCCCCTCACCTTTGGGACTAAGGATGCAGTTCCTTCTCTGTTTACATGAACTTGGATGAAAGTAAGCCCTATCCACTCATTGATAACTACACATACTGGGTGGATTGGAGATTTACCCCTTTATAGGGCAAGTTACCATTTTTTATCACTTGCATACCCCTTAGAAATGAAGTTCCCCCCGTCCCTCATTGAGGTCTAGAAGCACAACATCTATATCCATCCATTCAGCAAAGATGCTGCTACAAGACTGTACATCTTATTTTGGCATTTGACCAATTTGATGAGGCCTTAAATGATATATTACCTACTGTAAATTAAGATGAAAAAAAAGTTAACAATTAAAAAAAAAAAGTGAATCGAAAAGCTAAAAAGTAAAGTTAAAAGGTTAATAAGCCTCTAAGGTTATGTTGTACTGAGAAAAAAAAATGTGTTTCTTTCATTGTCAGTGTTTTTCATGAATTTCTTATAGAAGCACTTATTTTTCTTAATATATGCGGGCAAGTTGGCGTTTTCATTACATTGACATTAATTTATGCTATCAAAATATCAATTTTTTTTTTCTTTAAATATGGCAGAGTTGGTCCTCCATAAATAAGGTATTTTCCTGGATTCCAATAACGCACTAAAAAATTATCTATAAATTTGTAAAAATGTCTTAAAATAAGTGTATTTACCCTTAATTTGAGTAGCTAAATAAGAAAATCTCGCAGTGGAAGGAGCATGTTTATCCTTAAAATCAGTTTATTTGATATTATGCACTTGAAACAGCAGACTGCATTTTTTTCCTTATTTTAAATGTAAATTTTCTTCTTCCATTTGCAAAGTGTCTCACTTACCTGCTCAATTCAAGAAAAAATGCACTTATTTTAAGAAAAAATAGACTTACTTAGATTTCAGTTTTTTGCAGTGCACTCTTTGCTTGAAATTTAGATGTTTAAAATCTTTCACTGAGTGGCCTATAAAGGGTTATAAATAGTACATCTTTTTTTAATAGCACTTTGTTATACTTGTAGTTAAACTTTTCTATAAGTAATTTTAAAACCAAATTAATGTTGAAAAAAAAAACAAGTTTATCAGCTTATAGCCTGGTTAAAATGTGCCTTACCTTCAGCTCCTTCGCACCGGTGTTGCAGTGAGTTCAGGTGACAGTCCAGTCCCATCAGCCCGGCAAACATTTTTCCTTTAATCATGTTAAAAATCAAAATATTTAAAATGTTCAGAAGTCATGGAAAAGTCAGATACACCAGGAATCAAATATCCACCATGTTTTAGAAAAACTGGAGCCAAACATATGGACTGATCTCATTTCCGCTCTGGAAACTAAACACTTTTTTTGTTGTTGTTGTTAATTGTTCTAGTTATCGTGTGTTTGATTTTCCAAACGCTTTATTCCACACTAAAACCATTTTGTTTTTGTTCTTTTTCTCTAAATTCAAGTTGATTAGATTCTTACTTTTTCCTCCTCTGTGTGTCAAACACAAAAAAAGTTCAGTCGCGTTTCCACAGGCGGAAAAGAAAAGCTGCTCCTTTTGTCATGTTTCTGCAAATAAAAAATAGCTGGGAAATAAAGAGATATATCCGTTATGAAGTAAAGGCTGCGCAAGGAGATCTAGGTTGTCTGGTCAGGTCGACGATCGATCAGTAATCCGTTAGTCGGCCGCTGCTGCGCCCTGCGTCATGCGTCCTGCTGCAGCTCCTACGTGTTCAGGAATTTGACTCCTTCAGATCTACAGCAGACACAATCCTGCGACTCTTTGGTGCTTTTCTTAGAGAGGGAGCCAACTACATAGGACTCATTACTGCGTGCCCTTGTAGGATCTTAATGTTGTCCAAAGCGTTTCAAACCGCGTTGCGCAATATTCCCCTAAATTGTCCAAATATCCAAAAAAAAAACGACACTTTTCCAGGAGAATAACCAATGTTGATCTTCACGGGATCCTCGGATATTTCATTGTTTTCATGGCTTAAAGGGAAACCATGAGAAAACCAGCGAAACTTCAATCGTTTCATCTTATTTCCCACACTTCTAAAGGGTCTTTTCATTCAGCCTTGCTGGCTAATGGACAGCAGCCTCCTGCAGATAAAAGGGGCTCAGTTCAGCACTGACTGAAGTGCTGCACATAGTGAAGGATGGAGCCTCTCTTTTATCAGTTTGCATGTGGATGAGATCACCAGGTCAACATTAGCAAGCTAAGGACCTAATGAGGGGGGAAACTCATGACCACAGGGCGTTTTGCTTCAATAAACCTTCTATTCTATAGAATACAGTTTCCATTATTGTATTGATTAAAATATATAATTTTAACATTATGTTTGGCTCTGGTGTTTTATGTCAGAAATCAAAGAACTAAAGATTAGTTTATGGCGCTTTTTGTGAATGTATGTCTGTTGTGGCGTCATGGTGCTGTTATTGATTGTCGCCACAAGATGGCAGTAGAGGTTTTGGTCTTAGATGCAAATGTATGATAATTCCAACTCCAACATTTGCAGGTAGGTTTGTACTTACATATATATATATATATATATATATATATATATATATATATATATATATATATATATATATATATATATATATATATATATATATATATATATATATATATATATATATATATATATATATATATATATATATATACTATATACAATATATTAGGGGTCACCAATTACAAATCAGCCGGGTCCAAATGAAGAACGTCAACAGCCAGTAAAGGTTTGGAGACTTTTTTATTATAATCTGTTACTTTAAACAGAATTTAACACTGAAATAAAATGCTTTTTATGCATCCATGTCATACATTGACTTTTTAAATAAAGTAAAACAGAGGCCCTTCATTCTCCCCAACAGGCTCTCCCTTATTGAGCCGTCATATTTAAGCCTAGATGGTCATCTGAGGCCTCTTTTAAAAATAACATTTTCTGGCTTCTTTTGGATATTTCTACAGCTTTTTAAGAAAAAAATCATGTTATTCATATTCCGAACAGGATCTCTCTTTTTATATTCCTTCTTTTTTATCACAATTCGAACTTCTGAAAGTACTTTAAATATGAAATTCTCTCATACTGTTCAATAAATGATAAGTGTTTTTAATGAAGATTAATTTTCATTAGAATGTGCTTTACTGGAGACATCCATGTTTGCAGAGGTGTCAAGTAACGAAGTACAAATACATTGTTACTGTACTTAAGTACACTTTTTAGATATCTATACTTCATTACTTATTTTATAAAAAAAAAAACATTTTTCCATTTTAAAATCTAAAGTGTTTGTTTTTTTTAAATAGAGAACAGTCTTTCAGTTTGGTATATAGACAATTTCCTAATTCACATATTTTATAAAACACCTGAACTGACCATTAATTTGTATTTATTTGTTATGGCTTAATGAGAGCAGTGGGCTTTAAATCTGGGTTTGAATGGAGACACAGCCATTCTCAAGCACATATAAAGGTGTTAATTTTGAGCATGGATCCACATCTATTTTTGATTGTTAATGGTTCACCGCAGTTCTTGCAGCAGTCCACACTTTCTCTGCTCTTGTTTTCTCATCGTCTTCTCCTTCTTTCCCATCGCCCGGCCTGCCAAAGGTTTGCCTGCTGTCTAAAAGTAGCAGCAGCAGCAACCCAGACTGACAGCAGCTCATTGGCTAATTGGCATCAGGCATGAGGATGGACTGATGGACTGCAGCCTCCTACCAGAGAGAAGTGACTGAAATAGTTTGTGGCTTGGTGCGAGGGATTTATAATATATTTTATGATATTTCTAATATAAATTTATTATATTTGAACATCACGTTGATTCGAGATGCTCTCATAAACTTTACCTTTATCATGCTTGTCTATAATTTCTAATCTCCTGAGACATCTCTTTTCTTTGCTTCCTCTGGTCCATGTTGGGTGTGATACACACCATGTTGTCAAATAACTCGGGATCTGTAGTCCTATATAGGCCCATTGACTGATTGCAAGATTGTCAACAACTGTTATGCTGATTAGTGGAAGAACCTTAATTTAACATGTCTCTTTGGTCACATTATTTTCTGCCTCTTTTGGGGGTACCATCATTTTTGTCCAGACCCATTTTGAGATTTTTTTTCTGTTGAAACGTGGTTGAAAAAAAATGTGTCTTTAAGACCAAAAAGAAAAGCAATATCTATTTTTTGTCAGATTCATTATTTTGTTACCATTGTTGGTTTTACTTTCATAAACGAGGCATACCGACAGTTTTGTCCAGGTGTGTTAGTATAATGGTGTTTGTCTCTATTAATAGTGGCCAGAGCATGTCAGCATTATTGTGTATAAGTAGATATATAAACACATAACAGCCCAGAGGCTTTTAAATAGATCTTAATTTCAAGGTATAACACATATTTTGTGGAAAATACAGACCTGTGTTAAAAGTAGCGTTCAACAAACAGACATCAGCATATTAACAGCGTTTATCAGGCAAGATAAGCAATGGTCTCAATAGGCTCATAGTGGGATGCTCTTTGATGATTCTTTATAAAATACAGCTGTAATGCAGTAATTCCAGTTTTCCTTAATTCATAAAGCCTTTTTGTTTAAATTTTTTAATAACTTCATTAATAAAAAACCCCCCAAAAAAATCACATTTATTTAGACAGTATTATTTTTCCTATTAGGACCATGGTCCAGATCCAGGGAAGGTGCAATTTTCTATAAACTCAGAAGTTATATTTTTACCATCAGATGAACTGCAGAAATAAACCTTCTTTGTAGGATTCTTTTGCTCTTCCACAGTGTTATCAGATAATGGAGATAACGATCTAACTTTAGGCGTGATGGATAAAGACAATAGGGAAAAAAATAAATAAAAATTAGCTGCAAGTTGGTGAGAGAGGACAACAGAACTTTTATTAATGCAGAACAGCAGTAATATTCAACATCTCAACAAATAAAACAGATTTCTTTTCCTAACAGTTGCTATAAATTTACAAGCATATTACTTGAAAAGCTGTCAACCCGTTAAATGAAAAAGGACACAACAAAGGTTATGAAGGGTGTTTAACTAAACGACTCCCTCCTCAGTGTCCATGTGGGTGGTCCTGCTGCTGAACACGTCGGCCAACATGTGTTTGGGGATCTCGGAGCCGCGGACGCGCAGCGTGTAGCAGGCGTCCTCCACTTTACCCAGGCTCTGTCGGAGCGTGTGGAGCTTCTTAGAGACCTCGTACGGGCCCGTGTTCCCGATGTAGGAGAAGCCGTCGTGGATCTGCCTCAGGAACTGGCTGAGCTGGAACGGCGTGTCTATGTCGCCGTTGCCGACACTGCCGATGCACAGCCGCATAAGCTCCCCTGTCAGGTCGGCGACGCCCAACAGGTAGTCGGCCGGCGTCACCTGGAATGTCAGAACGTGAGCGCCCAAAGGAGGGGCTTCAGCCGAGCCCTGAGAGGAAATAAAATAATCAAAAATTATATGAAATGTTTTATCAAGACTATTTACTTCTTAAACTTAAAAAGAAAATAACTCAGTAGTCATGTGATGTCCTAACTTAAAGGTTCATTAATAAAGAAATATTAATAAACAAACAGAAGACAATTTGGGAGAAAGGTGTGGGGGAAACAGCTTAAAATAACATCATATTTTTAAATATCTCAGGGAAATGAATGTAGATATATATGACAATTTGTCTAAGGTTGTCTAAGTCCACACTCATACACACTCCATTTAATCATATGGAGCTTGAGATATTTTGCCGTTAAGAATGGAAAAAACAAACAATAGACATCACCCAAAAACGCTGAGCTGAAATTGAGGCAACGGTTTCCATTTTTAATACTTTTTCAAAGCTACATACTTAATTTCTCTTCATAAATACGCCCTCTAGTTCATGTTCTTATAGAACATAAAATTCCAATAGATTACACTGAAGTTTGTGGTTTTAACATGATGTAACCTGAATAATTTTAAATGATATGAAGAGTTTTGCAAAACACAAACTTTTATCCTACTTGAAATAAAAAGAACAGATAAAATAGTATCAATTGGACTTAGTCTGATTTTATTTGAAGTGCCTTGTCTGAGGAAATGAATATAGTGGCGTAGGAGTTCATCCTGCAACTGCAGGATCCCAGGTTGGAACCCCAGCTCCATCATCGGTCAATAACTCACCTACTGCCAACTGATGGCGCCGCCAGTGTTTGGCAGCCTTGTTTCAGTGAGCCCGAGGCCAGCTGGGAATACAGGTAGCTTGCCACCATCAGTGTGTGAATGTTTGTGTGCGAATGGCTGAATGCAGTGGAAAGCATTTTACTCCTCCTTTGCCATGTTGCTGACAAACGCACCTTAGGATCGCCGTTCTCCGTTCTCATGAAGACGAGCCTTGCATTGATTTCCTCCAGGCTGATAAGGCTGCGATGACGGATGTAGTGCAGGAAGGACACCGCTTCCACGTACTCCTGAATTCCTGAAGCATTAAATACAACCATCATAAATCCACACAAGACATTTAAAAAGTTAAAGTAATTTCATTGGCTGAGCTGCTGAAAATTTTAGATAAACAATGCAGAAAATTGTGGCATTTATAAAAGATAAAAGGTCACGATTGTGTCAGTTAACTACTACCTGCTGCTAGAGCATTGAAGACCAAAGATAAAAATAATCATCATGTTTCCTGCCTCTGTTGTTTAATGAAGCCTTGGTGACTTTTTTTTCGCAGCAGCTAAGATGACCCCTCATTTGTTTCCAGCTCCTGAGTAAACAATAATCAAATAATTGCAGGACGGAAGCCGTTGTGTCTGAAGTTTACTTTCGGAGCTCCAGTCGGGCTTCAAAGCCGCTGTGAGCAATAAGGAGCTGGACACATGGACCGTGTTTACTAAATAGGAAGGACCTGGATTTTATTTACGTGTCGTAATTCAATTCATTTCAGTTTATTTCTATAGCGCCGATTCACAACACATGTCATCTCGAGGCACTTTACAGTTCAACCAGATCATACAATCAAATTGATTCAAAGTTTTCTATCTTAGGAAAACCAGTTGATTGCATCGACTCATTGACTCAAATGCAATCCCTCACACTAAGCATGCTTTTAGCGACAGTGGAGAGGAAAAAATCTGTCCTAACAGGAAGAAACCTCCAGCAGAACCAGGCTCAGTGTGAGCGGCCATCTGCTGAGTTCGACTGGGGTTCAAGGAGACAGAATCAGACAGAAAAAGCAGCTGTAAAAGGCGGCACCATCCAGGAAACACAGCCAGGCCGACGAGCTCTGAGCCAACTCCCATGCCAGAGGATGAAGAGAGCACATCCAGCCAGTCACAGTCAGAGAAACAGGACTACACTGAAAAACATTCCAATCTTGGACATCTATAACAAAGGTGTTGATGGCAGCAGCACAGATATTTCTCTACAGGATTGAGTCACAGCCAAACAGGAACAGACGAGGCGAAGCTACAAGGGTAAAGGGGGCAGACAAATGGAACACCCTATTAAAGTAATAACTAGGTTAACTAGGAGGGTCATATGGACAGAAAGAAAGTTGGAGAAAGTGAAAAAAAATGGACGGATGATCTGAAGGGATTGCAAAAATTTACATAAATATTAATTTAACATGTATATGATCTATGCTACAATAAGTAAGGCTTTAAATGAAAACAGCTGTTTAGATTAGTAATATGTAGCACATATGCAGGCCAAACCTGCAAAAGAAAGAGTTGTCTCTTGAAACTTCAGGGGAGAGTAGGATGCGTATGAAGTGAACAGGATATATGACATCAAAGGGTTACACAAGCTGTGAGGCAAGCAGCCAAGGTTCAGTTCCTGAGTTTTCAGCCAGGAGCTGTTAATATTATTTGCTCTAAAGCAGCTATTACCTTTGGTCAGTGGAACTAATAAACAATGACTAAGGGGAAAAACAAGCTGAAAAGAGGAGATATGTTATTGGCAAAGCATGTGGAAAAGTTGAGGGCTGAATCTAGTGGTAGCCTTCTGGGATCTGACCTGCAGAAATAGTTCCTAATATTCGATTAATTATATAAATATCTATTTATAAAGTATGATGAATTATTGTGTAGATGTTTTTTTTATTAGTGTTTGACCACAAAGCGGTGAATCCTGGGAAAAGAGCATTTGTGGTTTCACAGCGTTAGTAGAGCAAAAAAGCTTATCAAAGCGCCGTGTTATCAGTGGTAATTGTGTTTAAATTTAGCCACAATATCTCTGATGGTCCTGAAAAAAAAAAAAAACAGACCCATTACATACAGTGGTGTGAAAAAGTGTTTGCCCCCTTTCTCATTTCCTGTTTTTTCGCATGTTTGTCACACTTAAGTTTTTCGGAACATCAAACCAATTTAAACAATAGTCAAGGACAACACAAGTAAACACAAAATGCAATTTGTAGATGAAAGTGTTTATTATTAAAGGAGAAAAAAATCCAAACCATCATGGCGCTGTGTGAAAAAGTGATTGCCCCCTAAACCCTAATAACTGGTTGGGCCACCCTTAGCAGCAACAACTGCAACCAAGGGTTTGTGATAACTTGCAATGAGTCTTTTACAGTGCTCTGGAGGGATTTTGGCCCACTCATCTTTGCAGAATTGTTCTAATTCAGTTACATTAGAGGGTTTTCCAGCATGAACGGCCTTTTTAAGGTCATACCACAACATCTCAATAGGATTTAGGTCAGGACTTTGGCTAGGCCACTCCAAAGTCTTCATTTTGTTTTTCTTCAGCCATTCAGTGGTGCACTTACTGGTGTGTTTAGGATCATTGTCCTGCTGCAGAACCCAAGTTCGTTTCAGCTTGAGTTCACAAACAGATGGTCGGATATTCTCCTTCAAGATCTTTTGGTAGACAGCAGAATTCATAGTTTCATTTATCACAGCAAGTCTTCCAGGTCCTGACGCAGCAAAACAGCCCCAGACCATCACACTACCACTTCCATATTTTACTGTTGTATAATGTTCTTTTTCTGAAATGCAGTGTTCCTTTTACGTCAAATGTAATGGGACACACACCATCCAAAGAGTTCCACTTTTGTCTCATCGGTCCACAGAATGTTTTCCCAAAAGTCTTTGGGATCATCAAGATGTGTTTTGGAAAAATTGAGACGAGCTTTAATGTTGTTTTTGCTCAGCAGTGGTTTTCTTCTTGGAACCCTGCCATGCAGGCCATTTATGCCCAGTCTTTTCTGATGGTGGAGGCATGAATGCTGACCTTAACTGAGGCAAGTGAGGCCTGCAGTTCTTTGGACTCTGTTGTGGAGTCTTTTGTGACCTCTTGGATGAGTCGTCTCTGTGCTCTTGGGGTAATTTTGGGTGGCCGGCCACACCTGGAAAGGTGCACCACTGTTCCATGTCTTCACCATTTGTGGATAATGACTCTCACTGTGGTTCGCTGGATTCCCAAAGCTTTGAAAATGGCTTTTTAACCCTTTCCAGACTGATAGATCTTAATTATTTTCTTTCTCAATTGTTCCTGGATTTCTTTGGATCTTTGGCATGATGGGTAGCTTTTAAGGATCTTTTGGTGGACTTTACTGTGTCAGGCAGCTCCTATTTAAGTGATGTCTTGATTGAAAACAGGTGTGGCAATAATCAGGCCTGGGTGTGGCTAGAAAAATTGAACTCAGCTGTTTAAAACCACAGTTATAATATATTTTAATGAGGGGGGCAATCACTTTTTCACACAGGGCCATGATGGTTTGGATTTTTTTTTCTCCTTTGATAATAAACACCTTCATTTACAAATTGTATTTTGTGTTTACTTGTGTTGTCCTTGACTATTGTTTAAATTGGTTTGATGTTCCGAAACCATTAAGTGTGACAAACATGCAAAAAAAACAGGAAACGAGGAAGGGGGCAAACACTTTTTCACACCACTGTAAGCCTGGGGATTTCTTTTACAGCAAAGATTATCAGGGGAACCCATAATCTCGTCCAGTCACCATTTAATAAGATAAAAAAAATGAAACAAGTAATTGGTAGAAAGTGCCACTAGTCACGTCCTGAAAGAGGTTCCACTGATTCCCTGAGTGGCAACAATCTAAAAAAAAAAAAAAACCCTTCCCAGCTGCTAGATAACAACTCAATCTCACTCCCATTAATGTTTATATCCAAATGCAGCAGACTTCATGTCTACTTTTAAAAAGACTTGGGCTGGTCAGAAAACAGCCTGCATGCAAATCAGCCCTAAGAGGCCATCAACATACCAAATTGTTGTAAATATTTGGAAAAGAATGGTGGAGGTTCTGTGGTGCTGTGGGCCATTACAAGTTCCCGTCAGCTTTTTGAAATAGCAGGAGATTTTAAAAAGAATTTTGTGTCTATCAGGAGACTAAAACATTTAAAGTAGAACTATTAAACTAAGTAGAACTTTAAACTATTTAAAGTAGAACTTCTGTGAAGTTTTTTTTTCCGATCACATCTAAGCTACCACATCTAGTACTCCAGAATGCGAATGAAATCGTTAAGCTCTCGCAGGGTCATCAATCTCTGACAGCTCACCTGGAGTGAAAGCTCGGTGAAACTGATAGATATCCTCTCCTCTCAGCTCCTCAGCAATGAGACCAATCTTCTGTCTGACAGCATCCAGTTTGCCCTCAGCCTCATTCAGAACAGCCTCAACATCAGGGACACTTTACACACAAAGAGAGAAAACAACATAGAAATTAGAGCTGGTTGACGTTACTATGCATACAAACTAAACACTTTTATAATAACAGCTGTTGGTGCATGAGAATCTGCCGGCCAGTGGGCTCTATTAGAAATAAAAGTTTGAATCACAAAGGTTAAACTAAAATATATATATAAAGCATGTCATTTTCAGCAACATCTAATGGTCAGACTGCAGCGATATGATCTGCCCCCCCCCCCATCTCCTCTAACACTCTGACAATAGGGAGACCTTCATGGTGCAAAATGCCTTCTGCAACGACTGCATTACCGATCTGGTCAAGTAATGAGGTTTATTTTCATAGATAATTTTATAAAAGGTATTTTATTATTCTATAAATTTTATATGAGCCTACCTTTCCACAATCACATTTGAGCGTAACTGCGATCACTACAGTCACTAGTTTGTCAGCTCTGAGCTGCCATAGCGCAAAGATGTCTGCCTCCATAAATGCGTGACCAGCTACTATGTTATCAATATTTAGAATTTTCTAAGGCAACACAAACTGACAGATTGAGACCCTCTGTTCATAGAAGACAATATACAACATACTTATGTCAAATATATATTACATTTTATTACATCCCTGTAATTATTACACACTTTAGCTTTAAAAAAAAGAAATAAAAATTTTGTCTTTTAGTAAAACAACAATGAATTCAAATCATCTGCCATCTTCGTTAAAACTACATTTCTTCTTTTAAAAGTGGCTCAATTTCTTTGGTCATTATCTTGGAAAATTTTAGAATTTTACAAAGTTATATTACCTGATTTTACAGCTTAGTGAAAGATGTACATAACGCAGAATTCGCCGTCAAGTTGGTGGAGGATAAGAAGAAATAGGTGCTACCTTGTATACTCATAAGGGTATAATAAAGAATTCTGATGCAAATGAATATGCAAACCAAATGTTTAAATAAAAGCTGCTGTTTTCTAGCCTAGTAAACTAGCCCCACCAGCCAGCGGCCGAAATAATTTTTGCCTGCGAGTTTGGTCTAGCCTCGATCAATGCCCCAGGCCCTAGAACTGGCGGGCCAATCACAACACAGAGTTGTGTTCTGAATTTCTGGATGCAAAGCGGGCGGGGATTTGAGGGCGTGACAACAAAGCTGCACGACACTGGAGAAAGCACAACAAGGAAGATGGCAACAACTATTGAACAGCAGCATGAACTGCCGCAGCAGCTTTCAATGGAGCGCTCTATCGAAAGTTAAAAGTTCTCTTTCTGTTGTTCAATAAAAGTACGTTTTAAGATCATTTGAGACGAGAATATTATACTTTAAAGCATCACTATATGGCCCATTTACTGGTTTAATGCATAATTAAAAAAATCATTTCTGAAGTTGAGAGGACCGCAGCAGCGGACCTCCGAGGCTAACGGCAACCAGGGCTAACTGCAGCCCGTCTGCAGCAGCCCTCTCTCAACATAGCCGTGTGTGAAGGACCGCTGGCTCTGATGGTGATTTTTGACTCAGCTTTGGAATCAAGTTTTGGAAGGATTAGACTTGGGGTTTTCGTTTAAACGTGAGCAGGAAGAGGCTCTATGCTCAGTAATTTTTAAGAAGTTTTACTGACAAGCTGTTTACACTCCCCCACCAGCTTTCTGTCGTGCTTACTACGTCACAGTCAGTTGCGCTCATTGGTCAGAGCGTTGGCCAATAGGGACAGACATGGTTTGAAAAACAACGGGTTGTTCTCATCAACAATCTTCCGATGTCTCATTCATCAGGGCCAGACTAAAGTACACAATTAATGTCACATTTAGTCTGGTTTACCAGGCTAGCTGTTTTCTGTAATATGAGGGAAAACAAGGAGAAAATGTAGATAACAAAAAATATAAATAATTGAACACCTACTTGGTCACTCTGTGCAAAAGAAAAATGGTCCTCTTGCTTTCGATGGTGACGTCCCGACTGATTTTAACAAGGCGTTCATATTTGTCGTGTTTGGTGTCCAGCTCCTGTTGGAAAACTTTAAAGACACAAAGTTTTAATCTTAATTTATAAAAAAGATATAAAGTCATCAAACAGTTGTGTGGAACTGCTAAAGATGTAGTGACCTTTAAATGCAGCAACGACTGGCGAGGATGGGTTGGCATGCACATCATGCTCCTGTGCAGCTTCAACATTTCTCCGTGACCAACCTTCACCTGACACAATGCAGACACAAGGGGTTTAAGATTATAACCACTTCTGGAACTCATTGCCTCTTTTTAAAATACTTTTCTGACATCAAGGGAGAATTACAGAATAAACCCTGTAAGCCAGCACTGTTCAACACCAGCCTGAAAAACATACATCTTCATCACTTTCAAATTTCTATCTATATCCACAATTTGAGGCTGTTTATACTCCCATGCTGGAGGCCCCACTTTACATAGATTTCAGTAAATACATGTGAGGGATAAGAGCCTGGTTTTCTTTAATGGTGGAGATTCTTCCTCTCAGCTTTAAGGTGGATTCAAGCATTTATCTTAATCTCAATCTGTGCAATACTGCACTCACAAAGGACTGTCTGGATTAGAAAAACGATAACAGATGAAAGTAAGCCGGAACGAGGACTGCAACTAAAGATCTATTTGCAAATCGATTAATCTGTCATTTATTTTCTCAAATAATCGATTTAATAAGCAGATAGAAAAAAGGTTCCTTAAAGATTTGTTTTGCAAAATTAAAACCAGGTGAAACTAAAACTTTTCCACTTGAAGAGTTTTGGATAGAGCAGATTAACAGAAATGCAAAATCTTGATCTATATATATATATATATATATATATATATAGTCTCAAATATATAGAAACAGTTTATTGCAGAGGGTATCAAGTAGTAAATTGCACATTATACATTGCACAACTTATTGTTGTTGTTGTGTCTCATTACAGTCTGGTTGTAGACTCTCTGGTCAGTCTCATTAATTTAAAATTGACTAAAGGATTTAACCCTGACCTGAAATGACAGTAGATTAGATTAGTAACAAGGACAGTTAAACATCCATGGCTGAAGTTAGCTAGTGATAAAAATAACAAAAACATGGATGTTTAGCTTTAGATAATAAAGCAGTTTATTCTGGAAATCTTAATAATACTAATCTAAAAACCGGATGTATCTGGACTTACCTTCTCGCTTATTCATCCTTTCAGCGGTTGTAGTTTATATATTTTTTTACTAAAAAAAATGTCGCCTCTAGAGAGTCGAAAAAAAAATGTCGATTAGCTTTGGTCTTCGATGCTCCAAAGAAAATAAAACCAGTAGTTTTTTACTTTCTGCAGGTTTTCCTAAAGAGAAAAACTCTTTATTTCAATCACTAACATCTTCCTTGGTCGAAAAAACATTTAAATTACACTTCGAGGCAGATTAATTTAGGCTACTTGTTTCTTGGTAGCAGGCGTTCATGCGGCATCCACGGGGCTTCTGCGCTGTTTACATGCGTAACAGCAAAAGGCGGAGCAGTGCATCATGGGAAATGTAGTACCACTGGGTGTTTTTAACCTCAGCTTGCATATTTGCAATATATTTCATAGTTTGGTACTTTGATATAGCTCAGCTCAGTGCAGCTTTGTGCTTTGCGTTTGGTTTTTATTTAGTCCTATTTTTGTGTTTTTTCCTGTTTTTTTATTTTGATTTTATTTTGAATAACTTCTTTTTAAACCCTGGAGAACAAAGTCAATTTCAAAGCGCACATATAATACATCTGAATGTGACTAATCATATAAAATGCAGCTAAATATTGTTTTAATTTAATATCTGGAAGATGTCAGAATTCTGACTTTCTTCTCAGAATTCTGACTTTAATCTCAGAATTCTGACTTTCTTCTCAGAATTCTGACTTTAATCTCAGAATTATGACTTTCTTCTTAGAATTCTGACTTTTTTCTAAGAATTCTGACTTTAATCTCAGAATTCTGACTTTCTTCTTAGAATTCTGACTTTTTTCTCAGAATTCTGAATTTAATCTCAGAATTCTGACTTTTTTCTTAGAATTCTGACTTTAATCTCAAAAGTCTGATTTTAATCTCAGAATTATGGATCCTAATGTAGATGGGCACAATGAAGGAAGAGATGTGAGAGCACTCAGCTTCACTGACAAAGATGTCCGTTGTTTGGGAAGGCCAGTAACACATTGGTGGAAAATAACGAAATTAGGCAACTTTTTACGTGCCCGAGGGGTTCCCGGTGATGCTATTTCATTGATGGAGGAGCAGAAGGTGATTAAAACAAAAGAGCTTGTTGACATGGCAACAGCTTGATGTGAACATGTTTGTTAGCTGTCAGAATTCAGTGAGAATTCTTAGATTAAAGTCAGAATTCTGAGAGAAAAGTCAGAATTCTGAGGTTAAAGTTAGAATTCTAAGAAAAAAATCTGAATTCTGAGATTAAATAAAAAAGTTAACTGATTTTTAAATATTTGGGGGGGAAAAGTCAGAATTCTGACTTTAATCTCAGAATTCTGACCTTTACCCCCCAAATATTTAAAAATCAGTTAACTTTTTTATTTTTTCAGTGGCCCTAATCCTCTTCCGTAGAGATTCCTACTTGAAAGTGTGAATTAATGTCTTTTGTTCAATATATATATTTCAAAAGTTAATTTGTCCGATATTCATGAAGCCAACACTAGGGGGGAGTGGCTTGTTTTCCTATGTCACGGTGGGCTGAGCCAGTAACAAACATTACACACGTAGCTGCGACATGCAGCAGAGCAAAAGCAACAATGTCTCCAGAAGACCACGACCCATCTCTCAATAATCGCCCGTGGGAACACATTATAGTTTCCCTCCTCTGATAGAACGCGCGGTGACGGAATGAGTGCAGCAAAATGCCGACTTTCTGAGTTTAATTCCCCCGTTTCGCTCGGCGCAGCGAGGTAGCGGGTCTTTTTCCAAAGTTGACGGTTAGCAGCAGGGCGCGTGTGAAGGATCGGACTTAAAGGCGCAGTACACCGCCGCTGCAGCCTCCCAACATGGAGAAGCAACAGAGCGACCTGGAGCGTGAACGACAATACTGTGAACTTTGTGGGAAAATGGAGAACCTCTTAAAGTGCGGTCGGTGCCGGAGCTCCTTCTACTGCAGCAAAGAGCACCAGAAACAGGACTGGAAGAAACACAAGCTGGTTTGTAAGGAGGTGGATAGGTCTCTTATTCCGAAACAGAAGCCTGGAGACGGAGAAGGCAAGAAGCATCGAGAACAGAGTGGAGCGGATTCTGCAACCTCACCCCAACATTTAAACACAGAAGCACCTGCTCACAAGGATGGACCGGGAGAAGTGGGCTCCAACACCCCCACCACGCCGAATGGCCAGAGCAGCCTCTCCCCTCAGAAACTGGCCATGGAGTGCATCGTCCCGTGTATGAACAGGCGCGGCATCTGCGTGGTGGACAACTTCCTAGGGACGGAGACCGGACTGGGCATTTTGGAGGACGTTAAGGGTCTGTACAAGACCGGCAGGTTCACAGACGGCCAGCTGGTCAGCCAAAAGAGCGACTCCACTAAAGACATCCGAGGGGACAAAATAACCTGGATAGAGGGGAAAGAGCCTGGCTGCGAGAAGATCGGCTTCCTGATGAGTCGGATGGACGACCTTATCAGACACTGTAATGGCAATCTGGGGAACTACACTATTAATGGAAGGACTAAAGTAAGTATGTCAGTAGGTACAAAAAAAACATCATCTAATGCATCATCACTCTCAGTTTGACTCCTGCCCACCTGAGCGCCTCATTCATCTGATTCACCTTTTGCACAGAGACCCCAGAGAGCCCCATTCAACATTTCTGAGTCTTAATAGATTTGCACAAAAACACCAGTAAATCAGGAATAACTCGAAACACAAAAACAAACAGAAATACTTTATCTAAAGCTAAAACAACAAAGGTATAAAGTCAAATAACCATAAGATACACATCTTTTTTTATTTGGCTCAGACCACTTTTCATTAATATACTGATTTAGATTAGATATTTGGGTTTTAAGGATCTAATTAGTGTTGCACCGATGCCACTTTTTTGGCCCCGATACCTGGCTGTGCAGTATCGACCGATACCATCTGGAAGAACTGCACACTGCTTGGATGTAAAATAATCAGTGTTGGGAACGTTACTTTGAAAAACTAATTAGTTATAGTTACTTTTTGGGAGAAGTAACTAGTAACTGAGTTACTCCACAGTAAAAGAAACTAGTAAAAGTAACTATTGCGTTACTTTTGCGTTTCTCGCCCCCGTAACCCTCACCAACCGGCCCCCACCTTCTCGCTGTGTGTTTCAAAAGCCAGCTGAATAGAGCGGACGATAAAGAGAAGTACCTGCAGAGAGTTTTGCAACTCAACATAAATGACATCAGGGGGGAACGCTATCTGACAGGCCTATAAACCCGTCAAAGTTCCCCCTGCTTAACATCGGGGGGAACGGTATCTGATGCAGTGTAAATATCATCAGGCTTCATTACCTCTACTCATGGGTGTGACGTTTTTTAACAGGGCGCTCAGATCTGGTGAGTGTATGAAGTTAATAACTGGGGATGACTAATTCTGAAATGCTGTGTGTTTGGGTTGTTATAGATACTGCAACGTCCGTCCAATTTCTTCCTTTCTCCATATAGGCTAACATTTGATTGTTACGCGCCTTTAGGGAGAATGCGCGTTTCCTGTCGCTTGTGTGGTGAATCGTGCCACCTGCGCTGTGCGGAGATGCAGGGGAAACCGTATCTGATGGGGAAACGCAGCTTTCCATCTGGAACGTGCAGTAACGGGGTGTCGGCAATGGTAACTGCGTTATAGTTACAGTCAAAGTAATTGGTTAGATTACTCGTTAGTAAAAAAAGGTAACGCCGTTAGTAACGCAGCAGTGTGTCGCAGTGAGCTTGATGCAGACATTTTTGATTTATGCTCAATTTTGAGCGTGGTTTGCGCTATATGCTGTGGGTCTAGATATGGCTGAGGAAGTGGGGGCAAGTCTGTCTGACAATGGAGGGACATGGCGGCGAAAAAGAGCAGGGATCCAGGTGGAAAAAGGCTCCCAGCTTTCTCGCATACCTCGCTCTTCTAGCTTGTCCAACTTCACTAGTTGCTTTCCGCAATGGTGGTCATACAAACAAAACAAGCCGGCAAGCGGGCATAGATTTGACCAATCAGAGGCCTCCTGTCTGTGGTCACCTACAATTTGGGAGAGGTGCCGCAGAGTGTCTGCGGAGGGGGCGGGGACGTCTTTGCGTTCACTGCGACACACGCAGACAACCTGGTTTGGAGGTATAAATCAGCCTTAATACAAAGGGAATCCATTAGAGCTTTTAATTGAATACCTGGAATGGATGATAATAGTTGAATAAACTTTTGGCTTTCAAAATGGTATCGGTGCTCTATTTGTTGGTACTCGCCGATACTGATACCACCATCTTAGTGCTGGATCTGGGCCCCGTCCGATTCTGGTATCAGTGCAACACTAGATCCAACCTTATCAAGGTGAGCATATAACATGATCCAACTTTTTATTCTTGTAATGAATAGAACATATATTCATAATATGACTTTTAATCCTGTTGGATCAGGAAAAAAAATATTGATTGGAGCATGTTGCAGATGTCAGATGTTTCTATCAAAAACTGTCGGTCAGTGTTTAGAAGCTGAAGATGGTGTAAGATATTAGCTTTGTATTTAATAAGTGAAATGACACAGTTATTTCACAGTTAGAGCAGCTGATTAAGGTTAAAATTGGCAGATTGTGATATGTGTGTCTGAGTGATTGATGCGTCTCTACATAATCTCTTTCTGCCTATTAGACTCAATTATGTGTCCCTTCAGTTGAAAGTGTGTCAATTCTGACTCAGCTGGATTTCCACCACCACTAAAACGATCTTTCAAAATGATATTTCTGTGATGAATTTGTAAAAAAAAAACAAAAGCAGAGTAGGCGTGACTCACAGCCTGATCAATTAGAAATATATTACCTAGATCTTTGTATAACAACTTAAAGGTGAAGGATATAAAGTAAGGTAAATCTGTAAGAAGATTTATTTCTTCTGCTGAACAAAGATGCAAGCCAGTCAAGTGATAATTAGGCTGTTATGAACTTTGGCACATTTACTGTTGAGTAAATATAAAGGATTAATAAATGTTGCAAAATTAGTTGTATTTGACTCCTGTTTCATCATTATGAAGTTCCAATCCCCTCCTGCTTAAGTTCTAGCATCATGGTCAATAAAACTTAATATGACTGAATAAAAGGTAATAATGGTTTTGAAATAAGATATACAGCAATATATGTCCAGGTATTATATTAGAGCTCCACAGTAGAGACTGACACGGGAGTGGATTTTCCCTCCTGTCCTGTCCCACTCCCACAGAAAAAAATGGTGTCCCTTCCCGATCCCGGGCCAGAGTAGAAATCTAAATCCTGTCCCGTCCCACTCCTGGTGAAATTACTCCCACTCCCATCCCGCTCCCA